TTTATTTTTTAAATTTTATTTTATTTTATTCTTAGAGAATAAGTGGGCAGCAGGGGAAATTACCTGGTATTTGCTTGTTTATAAGAAAGATTTATAGTATAAGTTTCCTGCTTTTCAAGACCATTCATTTGCAAAACATCGTGCTGGTTTCTAGGTTTCCTAGACTCTCGTTCCACAAACTCTAAAACCAGAAAGAAGCGTATTCGAAAAAAGGCAGCGCTGTTACCCTCTGGTCTGCCGTGTTCTTATATCCCTACTAAGCAATGAAAGCTTTTATGTGGCTCCACGTTGAGCTTGATTGGGAGCTGATCCAGATTAAAACCTACCAAAAAAAAAGGGAAAATAGCTTTAACATGAATCAGTTCCTGAATCCAGTTCTCTGTGCAGCTGCACAGATGCTTTTGCTGGCACAAGGGGATGATGCAGAGGCCAAAAAAAAGGGCAGAGGAAGACCACGCTGCTGGAAACTGCAGTGTGACATCAGAAGACCTTCCTTGGGTTCTCTGTGTCTGCAATTTTGCTGTGTAAATAACCTCTGATTCTTGTTTATGGTTCTGGGTTGCAATTGGAGGCATCAGCAAAGAGAATTTTAAGCATGACACTGTTGCTGAAATGGTTAGCTGCCCCGTACTGATGAGGAGTCCCTTCCTGATGGTGATCCTATGAGATTGTTTTGGTTTGATTTCTTTCTCCTGTGTGGAATTCGCTCATAAGGCAGCTGATTGCTGTGTTAGAGAGGTCATAAAAGTTGTTTAGGCTGATAAAGGGAATATGTTCTAAAATACATTATTACTTTATGTATTCCTGACAGAAGAGCCATAATTAAAATTTAAAAGAAGTAAGAATAGCCCATCAAGTTACAGTTGTGTGAAGGTGTGTTTTCTCAGTGTAGTCAAAAATAATGTGCTTCTGTTCTTGTTGAGAGTCATTTAGCATTGGCAAGATTGTAACACATTTAAAGTTTTGTGGGTATTGCCATTAAAGTTGGTGGCACTCAAGTCGTCATAGCTAACTAGCTACATAAAGCATCGTTAAGTGCACAGAAATAAGTAGAGACTACGAAAGAGGATGGTGGTGATAGTTTTTATAATTGCCATCTTTGTTATCCTTAAGAACAGCAGGACAGGAAATAGTTAAGTTTTTCTGAAAATGTTCTGTTATCTTTCCAGCTGACTGGATGCAAAACTGGCAAAACAAAAATCAGGCTCCTCTCCCAAAACAGCAACAGTGATTTATTTGTAAATCTGAAGTGTTCAGTCACACAAGCATAGGCTGTTTCGATGTCCATGCAGTGTTCATATTGGTGGTGGCTGGGTGGTTTTGTGTTGTTCTGAACATAAGGAAAACTTAACTTGTGTTTTCTTAGTGTTATTCTGGAGACCTTTTGATGGTGTCCTGGATTGAAACAAACATGAAAATACGCATTAGGAGAGGATCTTGCATTTATTGGATAAAAACTTTTTTTTCCTTTTTATTTAAATTGCATTTGCTTTGATTGTGTTGAGAGGTGCAGCTGTTTTCATGTTGTAGAATATTAGTATGGTGCCGTAAAGGAAATTGTCTTATAAGAATTAAGTTGAAGTTTTCACTTATCTTAAGAAGTGTGACTTTTCAAACTCTGTTCCCAGATTTTGGTCTCTGTCTTGTATCTTTTGTTCCCCTTTTGTTCTTCCAGTTGTCCATTTGGGCAGTGCTGAATACTACTGAGGTCAGTACTGGACCAGTAAATTTTTTTTCCTTCATGGAAAAATCATTTTAGTTTTCCCAGTACAGTGTTTGTCCTTAGTGCTGACACCTGCTTTAAAAATGTACTTGACAGCATTGGCAGCCAAAAAAAAAATTCCTTGCCCTGAAATAAGGGATTCAGTGTAAGCAGGATGTTGTTCTTGTATATGATCTCTTGTGTTAGTGTAATCCTTTCCCTTCACCAGCTCTCACCTGAGCTGTAGAACTAGATGATTGCCAGCAGATTCGGTTTTACTCACTTCAAAACTACATGATGTACACTGTGTATTTAGCTTTTAGGTGGGATATATATTCAGACTCATAAAACTTCAGTAGTAATGTCAAGACATATTTTGGGAGTTCTGCTAAACAAATTTTTAAGTCCTTACATTTGATTTTGGCCTTTCTTTGAGTGCATGTCTTTTGCTTAGTATAACTGTTCTTAAAGCTCGTGTTTCTTCATGTGTGCACATATTTTAACAGGGAGAGATGTGTGTAGATTTATTGTGCCTGGGCATTTCATCTGACTGGGCACGCAGACCTTAAAGTTTTGTTTGTAGTACTGTGAATGAAACCACAAGCAGGGAGCCTGCAAGAGATGTTTAAACAGCTCTTAACAGATGAGTAAGATATGTGTATAGTAAAATATAAAAGCTATTTTGTAAATGAAAGTTTGATTGCTTTTCACAGCTGTATACAATGGAAGCCACTAGAGGGAACCTTCTAACTACTAACTGCCATCTCAAAAATAACTTTCAATTTAAAAAAGAAAATTATAGCATGTATGTGTTTTTGTGGTTTGTTTGTTTTATTTTATAATAGTGCCTTAACTGAAAAAATCGTGTCAGTATTACCAAAAATGAAGTGTCCTCATCGTTTGGAGCCACATCAGATCCAGGGACTGGATTTCATTCATATATTTCCTGTTGTACAGGTAATAATTCTTTGACGTATTGATAAATTGCTGAAAAAAGCATAAAACTTGCGTACAGATTGTAACAAAGATCTTTATTATTATTTGACTCTTAACCTTGGAATGAATCATCACAGAGAAGTGGTTTAAATGAATACTTTTAAAGAATTGAATGGTATTATGGATAATAGAATTCTTAAGTGTTATTTGATCCACATTTAAGAAAAATACAAAATAAGCTCTTTAAATTCTCTTAAATTGAATCAGGTTCTGCTGTTGTGGAATGTTTGCTTAAAGAAACTAAGTTTTGGAATCTGATAATCTACTTTGCCTGGCTAGGAAGTAGAACAAATATCTTACAGTCTCTAAGCTTATGGTGTAAGTTATGCAGATAGTCATTTGATCAGAAGGATGTGAATGAGGCAAAAGCCAGTTGAGGTAGTTTCTTTAAGCATAATTCATCCTGCATTTTTATCACTTAAAAACTTTATCGGTGGAAATATAAACTGCTCTGCTGCAGGATCCTGTTCCTGTGTACTTGCTGAGCACCACTACCAAACCATGTGCACGCTCGTAGTTCTCCATTTTATTAAGGTTTAAGCTAACACGTGATGTGTTCCCGTTACACATGGTATCCTGAGAATCCTTGGTATGTCGTTACCACGTTTTGATTTTACTTTCAGCTGCACACAAAAATGTGTATTTGATAAATAGGGAAAAATGAGGACTGCTAAGCAAGCTGCTTTGTCATGAAATACCTCCTTGCCTTATGCCTGTCAAAGAATTTAGCAAGTAAGAGTTTAATTTAAATTCCAGTTTTTAAGAAGTGGGGAAAACTTCCTGTTTTCTCTTTCTTGTTATCTTCTAGTAGGAAGCTTCTGAGGAAAACCACACTTAACTGCACTCCCCACAAACAGTTGCGTGGTGTGTGCCACTGTTACACAGCTTTCAAGCTGTACTGATGCTGCCTAAATCTTGTTAATGTGAGTTTTTACTTCTAAACTTCTCTTTTCCTACCAAAAAAAAAAAAATCCCAACCTAGATTAATTTTTTGCCCTGATCACTTGATAGTAGTTGTGTGGATACATGTATCAAATACAAGACTTCTCTCACAGGAAAAATAATTCTTCTCCTAAAGGGAGAACAAGAACAATTACTCTTGCTATAAAAACTATAATAATAGGTGTTCTTTTTTCTGACCTTCTTTATCCAAAATCCTGATTTGGGATATTACCTCTAGAAAGGAAAAACATCAATTTTAAGCAGAGAGGAGATCAGCTTCTAGATTTCTCTGAGCACTGATTCTCAGTATTAGTAGCTGGCCGGTAGGTGGTATATTTAATCCACGCTTGGTGAAGACGTCTTTCTTGATGACCTTAGTTTTTTGTATGCGGAGGATCTTTATTAGAAATTGTGTCTTCCTGTCAGATTCCTGTGAACCTCTATCTGCTCCAGATACTGTTGGTTCCTCATTTTGTCACAACCAAGATACTTTGAAGAAAACTTTTGTTGGTGTCACCAGTATGCTGTGTTCTGAAGACCATACAAGAGCTTTAGTAGGCTGGCCACACCATGACATGTCAGAATTACCTGTTTGGTAACGTCCTTTACTCAGTGCTCTGATTCCACTTGTGATCTGTAAATCTCAAATCAGTACCTGAATGATACAGAAGCTCCTTTCTCCACCTGGCGTTGTCTCCCAATAGCTCTTGTACTGTGCAAGCTAATCTAGTGAACCTGATGGGAAGAATTTGCATAAATCCTTCCCTACAGGAAGAAATTAGACTGAGTTGGCTCACTGTCATAGACTGTATCAGAACTATGAAAAGAGACCAAAAAAAAGAAAAATACCAAAGAATATTCCAGAAATGGTACTGTTCTTCCTAGTAAGTTCTACTTATCTTCATAGTGAAAAGTACATACTTGATCTTGTGTTGAGATGTGCTTTGTAATTAATAGTCTACATTTTCCATCTCTCTTGTCATCATCTTCCCCTCACTTTCCAGGGGTCCATGCCTATAGCACAGAAAACAGTTGCTGGTTCAAACTTGGGACCCAAGATTGATCTGATCTCTTTTGCGACCTCCTGCACTGGCTGTCAACAGCCCACAAGATTTATCTTCTCCGGCATTATTTAAAATGTACTTCAGTCTTCTGTGGCTTTTTGTGTGGTCTTATAAATGTCAGCCAAAGCCTTTCTTATACGGGCATGTGGTTCCTTTTGAACACTTCATAGGCTTGAACATAAGTCTTTTCACAGTGGAGCTGTAGTTCCTGAAAACAGTTAAGTGATCTGAAGTAGGAAAATTTGGTAGAAATACATATAACCTAGCTGTATAGCCAAAATTAATGAGATGAGATTGTGTTCCAAGTGGTGTCTTTGTCAGAGTATAATTGACTAATGATACAAAACAGGTTCCATGTTGGATCCTGGCACTGACAGCCCAGAACATTTTCTGTTCAACTTAGAATTGCTTCAAATCCAGCAGAGCTCCAGCCCATCTCATCCTGCTCAGGCTGATAGAGATGGATGCTGTGAACAGTTTGAGCTTGCTTTGCAGGAGAATGACCACACTGTAGCTCAGAGACCGTATAAAAGCCACCTGGACTATCTGTTTTAAATCTGCTCCCAAGGGCCTCTTTGGAGTAGAGAGAGATGAACCCATGTGCCTGCAGAGTATGATGACATTTTTCTATGTGTGCTGTAAATCCAGCGCTGCCTAGGACTGAGGGATTTGTTATTTATTTGAAACGGCCTGCTCAGTAGAAGGACAATGTTGATAGCTTTTACAGTGCAGTAGAGTTTTGAGGTTTTTGAATATAGAAGAGGTTGTGTAGGCTGGTACAGCTGAGCTCGTGGTCTGGTGGTTTGCGAGGTGTGCTGGCTATTCCATGGTGAAAAACAAAAAGCCAGAAAATTAATGTTCCTTTGTTTCATTAACTACTGCTTTGTATTTTTCTGTGTTATGTATTATTCTGTGCTTTGCTAGCATGATGTTAATAATGTTTAACAAGGAAGAATAATGAATAATACAGATAACTTTTTAACTTTGTGAAAATGTATCTTTAGCTGAAGTTGTAGATCTATCCTGCTTTTAGTTTTTCCTTCTAGGGTTTATGCAACTCACATTTTTTGTAAGGGGACTTCAGGGTGTTTTTTTGTGGAGAGGGGATATTTTTGGTTTTGGTTGTTTGGGTTTTTTTATTTCCCCTTAAAGATTTAAGCTAAAATAACATTTCAAGTGGCCCACATCCATTTCTCTTCCACAGATGCTCTTCACTTTCCTTTTTGAAATGATTTTACTGTAGATACAAGTATTTGGATCACATAAATTAATTTGGCAAAATTCCAATGAATTTTGCTTATGTTTGTGAAGTTTTCTTATGGTTTTTTTTAATGTTAGTCAACTAAGAATTCCCAGTAGTTGAAATTTGCAGTAGAATTTTCTTTCCAGACTTACAATTAGAGATTATTTAGCAATTCAGTAGCTGAAAATTTAGAATGCAAGCTAAATAAAGGGGAGTTTGTGGAACAAAATAATTATTCTTACAACACACTGTTTACAAATAACATTCAGAAAAGTATTTTCTTTGGATACCAGGCCCCACTCCAGGGAGCTTATAAGGGAAGGCAGTTTATTCTTCTTTGCACTGTTGAATCCCACTGTAGTGTGAACAGTATCGCTCATTGAGAATTACCTTGCTCAGTAGAGTTCAACAGGATGGAGAATATTTAGGTTTTTTTATATAAAACTTTGATTATAGGAAGAACCATGTGATTTTCTTACCTTATGCATTATCTGATTGCTCAGCTTTTTAGTGCGTAGAAGAACAGCAAAAGTGAAGTTTAGAAAATAGCTGATGCTGAATCATTTTGTTAGGACTAGGTCCCCAAGTTACCATGTTTACAAAAAACCTGTTCTAGTTTGTGTGCTTAGAATGTGCTTTTAGGTTTTTGTCTGGTATTAAAACCAGTTATGCAGTAGTTAGGTGTTCTCTGCTGTTATTTTACTTTTGCACTGATACAGACTTCATGTTTTTTCAGTGGCTGGTGAAACGTGCAATAGAAACAAGGGAAGAAATGGGAGACTATATTCGTTCTTACTCTATATCACAGTTTCAGAAAACTCACAGGCTACCAGAGGTAAGATCAAGCAAGTTCTTATTTTGTTTATGATATGCCAAATATCCAGATGCAGTACCAGTTTCAAAGCTCTGAAATCAGGACAATATACCAAAGTTGTCTTTGCCATTGTTTTGTTAATTGGCCCTAAAGGAATCCATGTACAAATTCAGATGGGAAAGAAAACGAAATAGTGTTATAACAGAGAGTTCATACTGGTTAACTTTTGCTTAGTAGTCTCTTTGATTTTTCTGCAGTATTTGGTAATTCCCTGTCAGTCTGTTGCCAGGTAACTTGCTTTTGGAGTGAATGTGCAGTGTACCCAGGCCTACCGTGTGAGTGGAGCTATGTTTCCTGAAACATGTTTGAAAACACTCAGTGTGCTGTGGCTAGAGTGTTCCAAGTCAGCTTCTGTCTCCTGTACCCAAACATCAAAATTAGTTCTTGAAAACTAGATTCCTAAAACACTCCATTCAAAAACTGATCTTTTGGGACAGACAGACAGGCTTGGCTTAAAAGGAAATAACGTTTGTCTTTAAAATACGATTACCAGAGGAGTAAGATGTACAGTTTTATCTCAAAGTGTAGTGGCAAAAGTAATTTTGCACTGTTTCAGATACATTGATTGCATTCCTTCTCCTGATAATGGTTAAATGCTGCCCATTTTGAAGTTACATGTTTAGAACAGTGTCATGATCCTCTCTTCTTCCTATCCTGAAGTATGGTACAAAGTTTCCTTGGTGTAGAAGGAGAGCTGGAGCAAGCTTGGATTTGTACCTGTAGAGCAGAGCCATCAGTTCCGTTCCTGCATATCCCAAGACAATTTCATATTTAAAATCTAGAACCCAAATTTTTTAAGTCATTCAGTCGCTGATTAGCTGTCACTATTCAGTAACAGCATTAGAAGTAGATGTCCCTAGTATCGGGAAAGACAGCTGGATTTCATTAGCTGCAGGTGTTCTGGATTTTATTTTGGGGTTTTTTTTGATTCTTTTTGATGCTTAGAAACTAAACTAACTGTAGGGGCAACTTCTCATTTCCAAATTAAGCCCATCCCAACTTCATTTCTTTGTAGCCTAGTACTGATCGGAGATCCCGCTAGTGGTCTGGGATTGCGTGTGTGGCAGCTACTGTATAAGCAGAGAGCAGAAAGGCTGCTCATCTGGATACAGTTTTAAAGATCTACCTACCTATCTGATGAGAAAAGTAGATACTTTTCTGTGTTACAGGAAATGACTGTTTCACCAAATAATTGGGCGGCTCAGATAGAAACTATTTAAACAGCTTTGCTAAACTCATTACAATGGTTGAGATGTAATCTCCATTCCTGGTATTTTTAATCACCTCCGTTAATGTCTTGCAGGATGATGAATTTATGCAAAGAAAAGAGAAGGCTATCAAAACCGTTACCGATATCTCTGTAAGTATGCTAGATTTTTATGATCAGGGAGTGAATCATTTTAGTAATGAAATTGCGATGGTTAATTCTGTTTAATGCAGCCAGTCATAAGCCTTCTCATGAGAATGTCTCAATTAAGTTAAATCTTGAGCTTCATTATTAGAACATGTCTCAAACGCCAGCATAGCAAACTCAAAACCTTTTAGGTGTGCACAGAGCGAGTAGGTAAACCATTATCAACTGCCTGCACAGAGAGAGTGCTCTGCAATCAAACAAAAATCACAAGGTGCCTTACAGGCTATTAAGCCCTCAACAGACTAAGTGTTTATTTGGAGCTATCAGCAATTGGACTGTTAATCATGAAATGAATCAAAATGGTGACAATCTCCTCAATTTAAGTGTCCCCAATTTAAATTTCACAACTTGTCCTTTTTAGTTCTTGTAATTAGCAATGAAAATACACACTTTACTTTGGAAATGTTTTCTTCAAGTAGCAAATCTGGGTTGGGAAAAGTGGTATCCTTCAGATGTAGATCTTCTCTCCGAATAATTTCTATTTTATGAAGGCTTGTTCATGAATGCTACCAGGAGTGATATGTAAAATACACAGGCTACATCACTGTCTCATACTTGAATTCACATGCCTGGGTAGCAAATTGAGTTGCTTTCTCTCTAATTTTCCTGTTTACTTGGGACTGTCAGTTCATCATTTCTGATTCCAAAAGTTTGCCTTTTTTTTTTTTTTTTTACTACCTTGATAAATTCACAGGCCAGCAGTTGAGAAGGGATGAGAAATCTGGGTATGCTTTGAATGCGACACTTCCAAGGATCCTCAATAGGTGGTGAAACCTCACTCTTCTGAGGAAATCACTGCTATTTCAGGTAGCTCTAGCCAGACACCCCGAACTCTTAGCCCTTGGATGAGGTGTTAAGTGCCAGTATAACGAGTTATAGCATAGCTTGCACAATGAAGCAGACTATGCTTAACCAGTACTTACTGAAGCAGTAAGTCCTCTTACTTCTTTGTCATGTTTTGGTGGTAGTTACTTTGCCATATTAACCTCCTGAGTGCTGCTGAGCCTGATATATGTGGTTGGATTGCAGTGTATGTTTATAGAAAAACATTGCTATATAAGCCTCTGGGTGATGACCAATGCAAGTCCCTTGTTAATCTATTTGCATAATTACTCTTACTTTAAAGGTTTCAATTACAGTCTCTAACTGTTGTTCCCCGTGGTCGTGTTGTTTGGGGTTTTTTTAAAAATTATTAGCAGACTACAATGAGTCTTTTACTCCAACCAGCAATACTTGTATTTCTAGTGAGATCTGTTTCCTGTTTTACAAGTTAGTTCTCCTTGTAAATGGGTATTACTGTTTTTTTTTGTTTACGGGTATAACCCTTTAAATCGAGAGAGAATGCAAACCTATGTAAGAAAGCAAATTCCAAGTGTGTGTTCTGTAGCACTTGAAATTTATTGAGCTTCTGCTTATTTTCAGTTTTCAGAATAATTGTTCTGATGTTTCAAATGTGTCCGTTTTCTACCTGCATTGTCTTTAAATAGCACTGAAGATTCTGTATCCAAGTGGCTGATACCAACCTTGTTGTTGAAGAGACAAAAACAAAGTAGTCACAATACTGAGACACCAATACCTAAAATTTTTAGTATCACTTAAAAAACATACAGAAGATAGTTGTTTAACACTGATGAAGGGATCCCTTTGCTTGCTGAGGAACAGAGGTGGTTTCAAGGCTTAGTTTTTATGTTCTAATGATTTGGGGGGTTAAGTTTATTCTATTTCACTAATGCATTTATTTGGAAGAACTTGTGTGGGAAGGAATGCAGTCTACTTTCAGTGTGTAGATACGGAGTAAATGTCAGGTCCGTTCAAGTGGGTTTTCCAAAGTTCCATGGTGTTTGGTTGAGTGTCCTGTACGTATCTGTCTGCATGTATTCTGAAATTGCTTTTTAGAGCTCTGGGAGAATGACATGGCAAAGATAAAGCAGATATGTGGATGCCAAATTAAGTGTTTTCTTTGTTGGTTGAAACCAGTGAATTGGTTTTCACTTGCCAAGAGTATCAGAGCTGTTAGTTTAAAATTCATAGATCCTGGAATCGGATATGCATGGATCTATTTCTGCAGCAAAGGGGGTAGTTCCATACTGAGGATCCAAGAATGAAAGCAGGGAAAACAAGGTACAGTCTTAAAAGTTGGGTAGTATTTTGCACCATTCAACTAGCCTGTCAGAATAGCTCTGAATGGCTCTTCTGCCTTTGAGCGTGCTGACTGCTCGCCCCAGTTTGGATCTATCTGGAGTGCTGATAAAGGTGTATCTTGTCTTCTCCTCTGGATCGTGAATCTCTAGTTCTTAGATGCATCCTCATAGGAGATAAAGTTTTTACATTTGTTCATCAGCGCTCAGGATATCGTTAGACAAACACGTTTTCCTTACATTTAAGAGCACTGCCAGGATTATATCTTCTACAGCTGGCACCTGATATACTAGATGAGAAATTACTTCATGAGATCTCTGAAGGTATCAAGGCATGAGTGCAATCTAAAAAGAACACAGAGAGAATTTTCAGGGAGGGGAGTACACAAGCTTTCCTACCCATCATTAGGAGCTGGAGGATGGAGAAGGTAGCTGTTGGAGGAAGGCTCTTTTGCAGGTCACTTTTAAATCATGATGCATTGGAATGGGAAGAGAAATCCACTTTCCTGGAAGAGGACCAGCAAGTGTGAAAGATTGGTGTGTTGTCTGAATTCATTATAACAACTCTGGTCTGAGGACCTACCTTCTCTTCTCAGGGGGTCAGTGCGGTGAGATTTACGGTCATGATCAGGCCTAAAGGTTAGAAAAGGGAATATTAAATATCAGTAGTGGTTATTGGAATAAGAACTACTGCTGCTGAAAGGTGACTGTCCAGTGAATTGAGGTTATCTTGCAGTGGTGGTGTTCGACTACTCCATTATCAGATGCCAGGACTAATGTTTATGGTATGATGCCTACACTTCATGTAGCACAGGTATAATATAGAATGCTATCATAAAAGCTATAATTACTTTTATTTCTTACTTAGATAGGTGTGAAAGTGCATTTTGTGGGAGATTCTTGATCATAAAAAGCTTTTTTGATATGACAGTCAAAAATGTAGCAAGACTTAATAGCTGGAAACAAGACAGAAACAGATTAGAAATGAAGTAAAAATTGCAAAGGATATCTGACAAATTCAGGAGGAACTTGCCCAGGGATACTGTCTATATTCACTTTTTTCAAATCTCTACTTGGGGATTACATGTCTCTAAAATAAAGATTGAAAGCTATTTTGGCAGAATTATGGTGCAGGAATTGCTTATTGAAAATAGTTTGTGTTGTACAGAAAGTCAGATCAAGCAAAAATAATTTTCCTTTTACATTTTCTGTTAGAGTCTTTGCAATTACTTGCGTTCAATCTTCTGTCCCATGTGAATAAGATTTTCTGAAGTTAAACATATATGTGGAAAGCCCAAGCTTTGATTTCAAGTGTTGTTTTTGTAATGTATTTTTTCTAAGCATTCTGAGCCTGGCCCTCAAAGGATTTAAAGATATGAATGTAAAACAGACCTTAAGAGAGGGGAGCTTTCCTTCTTAATGCTGATGGTTTGGAGGTGATGATCTCTTTCTTTGGAGCGATAAGAGCTGGAATTTCATTTCAGAAAAAGGAAAATGTCATTTAATTGGTTGAAGGGGACACTTTTTGAAAGTATATCAATTGGAGTTAAAAAAATCTTTGAGATCACAGGTTCTTGGTTAGTTTTTTCAGTATCATTGCTAGCAGGATAGCACTAAACACTAGACCTCAGTTAACTTCAGAGTCTTTATTCCAGCGACAGAAATGTTGTGTTACAGACTCACTGTGTCGCTAATCTTTGACCGAACAAACAGCAGAAATAATGCTGGTCGAACTAGATGTTATCTTGGTTCCAGTTTTCAATTTGGGAAAGCTGAGGATTTCATGAATATTTCTTGTTTGGTTTAATTTTCATTTTGTGTTTGAGGTAGAATAGCTTTTCTAATGTTTTATAAACTTTGGCGGTGACATAGTTGATCTATATGGAAGAAGAAACTAAAAAAGGTGCTTTAATGTAGACCAGTGCTTTAACAGTTGTGTCTGTGTTAACAGTCAGGAAAGCAGTTCTGTCAATTCATTTTCATTTTACTTTTAAACTGGAAGTAGCTCTATGAGCACAAAACAGTACTTGTGAATCCTTGTCTTATTTGATGGGCTGTTGTCCACCTGTAGGTTCACGCTGGAATAGCATGAGATTGAATGATTTTAGTACCAAACTTTTTAAAGTATTTCTGTTCCTCAGATTGCAATAAAATCTGGTTTAATTTCATTGTAACCTGTGTTCACCGAGTAGTTAATAATTACTCTTAATTATATAACAAGTGATTAAAAATAGAATTAACTCACAAAGGAGGTAACGTGATTTAAAGACACTGCCATTATAAGCTAAATCATAGGGCCTTTTTTGTTATACATGTTATGTTACTTTTGCCTCTTGTTTCAAAACTGATGGAGATGGTTGAAGAAATCATGTTTGACCCCTTTTAACTTTTGTAAAACCTGGAAAGACAAGTCCTTTAGCAAATAGTTGAGAAGTAAATTCAGGAAGACTTCCATCATGTAATTCAAAAAAGGGGAAGTGGAGGATGTTTATTTGGGCAAGTATATTCAGTTGGAAAGCAAACAGTGGTATATATCACTCTAGGTAACAATTCATCATTTATTCTAGAAAAGCCTTTTACGAGCTCTGAATTCTATTTGTTGTCTTACAGGAGGTTTACAAACCCCAGAGAAAATACAAACGTCAGAAGGGAGCTGAGGAATTGCTAGATGAGGAATCAAAGGTTCATGCTACGCTTCTGGAATATGGCAGGTGAAAGGCTTCATTTAATTGCCTGTAAAATTTGGATTGTGCAAGTTTATTTCTACTACTTGAGGATCAGACTGTTTCCAATTTACTCCTGTTTGGTTTCAGATTTTGTTTGCTTACCCTATAAATTCTCTGGGGACTTGGACAGTCCTCATGTGTGAACAGTATTTTGTACAATGGGAGCCCAAGTTCTGACTTTATGCTGCCAGTAGGGTATGTTTATTGAACACACTTTTTCTTCGTTTCATAAAAATGCCTTAAATTCATGATGCCTCTAGGTAGTGTCTGTCAACCAATATTGCCTCTTTGCAAGCAATCTCCAGGAAGTGGATGGGAAAAAAGGAGCTGAAATTGTTATTGCTTCTTTTTTCAGTCCTAATGTGGTTTCTACATCAGGAGGCTGAATCATGGTTTAGTGCTGTGTCATCGTGTTTTCTGCAAACTTCTATGTCACTGAGGTTTGCACTTACCCATTACTTTCAGAAGTCACTCTTTTACTGAGAGTTCTCCATACTCATAAAATGTTACAGATTTTCTCTTTTCATAATTTAATGGTATAGACAGCTTGTTTGCTGTCTGAACTCTTAATTGGGTACGAATGACATTTGAATTTGGGGTTTTATCTTCTGTGGCAGCTTCTCCCCCAAACCCCAAAGATTATTTAATTTTTTGTGCATTTCTCTTGACACAGTTAAAATCAGCAAGGGTCCTGGTTGCAGATTGCTTATAATCTTCCACTTTCATTCATGGTGGTATGTTTTGAGGGCAGTGTGGGCTCACTAATATCTTTCAGCTTATTTTCCATTAAAGTGCAGTAAAATCTCTGTGTGTTCCTAATGGAATGAAACTATTGGGAGGTATCTGGGTGTCCTATTAGTCAGCAGAGCTCTTCTGGCATTGCATATATTTTAATATACGAATGATTATTTGATATGAAAAGCTCAAGATAAATTGGATGGAAGTGGGAGAAAATTAGGATAGTTACAGGTTTTGAATGTATTCTGGTCATCATTCCTTAGTGAATTCTCAAAGCATAAAACTCTTGGTTACAAAACTGGTTTTGATATGGTGCAAATAAAAAAGAACAGCTGAGAAAATGACAGTGGTGAGACACACAAATACCTGTTTTGTGGGTTTTGGTAGAGAAAGAAACTCTTAAGGTGATAGTCTTTCTACTGTGAACCTCGTAATAAACTAACAAGAGTACAACGGCTCTGAGATATACAGAGATCTGAGGGGGCAGTAAAGATTACTGTCCATCTGTAGTGCTGTTAGGGGAACTAAAACACTGCAGGAAAAGGCAAATAGTAAATTTTTGGTAGGTTTAGGAATAGAGCTGAATGGTTTTTCTACTGCATGTAGATGACAGTTGTAGAAAATTGTGAGTAGAGGATTTTTTTTTTCTTCCTGAATGCCCCTAGTTTGTAATAAAAAATTCTAATCATAAAAGTTATTTTTTTCAGTCCAGTGCAATATCCCAGTGCCAGATGCAGCGACATTCAGATACAGGCAGTGATAGTGCCATATTCTAAATTGTGGGTTTTTTTTTTTTATTCTGTGGCCTCCAGCTTAAAGGTTATCACAAATTAGCTTGAATGTGGTAGGCCAGAGTCTGGCTTGAGAGCAGAGTGATGCCAGTGGCCATCTTTCCCCACAGCTGCATAGTCTTTTAGCTGAGGGCCTTCACTGCCACGTCTGTGTACTTTGCTGAAAACCGATTGGCAGTATGCAAAGTCAGTTCCTGTAACAGATGTGAAACGTTAAGCATGGGAAGCATCTGGGTTGATGGTTAAATTTTTGTTATTACTGTTCTGGTGCAGTTCATTACTTGGATGCAGTTATCTGTCTGAAATAAATTTGTGCTCCTACAAAAAGTGAGGACAAATACACAATTAATGGCAGTAACAGTTGAAATGTTTCCATACCGGTACAGCCTTATGCACGCTCCATGGAGGAGTTGTGCTCTGCCACATTCTTTGTATTACTAAGCTTTGAAACACAGAGACAACTTAATGGTGGTGAATTCTTGAAAACTTAAGCATTATGCTGTAGTAGAATATGGCTGAATTTAACTGTTGATTGTTGAATAAATGGAGAACTGGTGACAAGCGATACTGCTGCAGAGGATCGCTTTGGATTTTTAGCCCTAAAAAACTTAGAAGTAGTCTTCTGCAACACTAAAGGAATCAAACAGATGTAGCTCTAAGTTAGGCAATCAGGAACATCACTTCTTTTCATATCTCTGTACACTTGGGGTTTAGTGCTTCATAATACTCAAGATGATTGCTTGCTCCTATCTAAAATTTCTTTTGACCTGTTCTTTCTTTAGGATAATATTTCCAAAATAACAACATAGCTGAAATATCCATTTTTCCTCTCCCTCAAAAAAACCGATGTGAAGAAGTTTATTTGAATATGTATTTAAAGCTCTGAACATCACATTTCAGAAAGAAATTGCAGATTCATCAAAACACACAAGCACAAATGGTATTTTGGAAGAGAGACTGCACTGACAAATTCTTGGGGCCTTTCCAGAATTCAGTGCTATATAGTTAATAGGTCAGGATTAACTTCCAAATGGAAAGAGAACATTGCTTTGTCCTTTCCTGAGTGTTACATGACATTATTTTATGAAAGGACTAGATTTGCAAATCATGATGGAAGGAGTAGATGGAGCTGAAATTATTCTGTAAATCTGCTGCAGTACCTGTGGGGGTTTTTTTAGTTTATTTGAAGCATTCCAAACCTAACCTGAACCTGGATGTTGATTTTGTTTAAAAATTCACTTTTTAGTGCATATCTTATGTTGACAACTAATAGAAACATTATGTATTTGTGAAGGTTATAAACTGTAATGTATTTCTTTCATGTTACTTTTGTTCTTATAGGAGATATGGATTTAGCAGACAAGCAGGAAAAACAGAACAGGTAAAATACATTAATCTTAAATACTCAATTTGTGGAAGGAATTGCATTATTTTTGTTGAAGTGTTGGTTACTGTAATATCTTAGAAGTTATAGCTGTTCATTCTGTGGTATTCCTTTATTACTATCATCTCTAAACAGTGACTAACTGGAACTAAAATCTAGGTGGCATGAAGGATGCAACCGATGGCTGTCTCTTTTTTTTAAAGGGTTTCCTTCATCTGTTCTCAGAGATCACATTTGTAAAATATTTTTTGCTTAGAAGAATGGGGATTTTGGTGTTATGTTTTGGTTTGGTTTTAACTTGAGGTAATGACATATCCTGTTTGTTTCATCAGTATCTTTTAACTAAGTGCTCCATGATGTGATCATTAAAGAGTTTTCCCTTTTCTTTTTAAAGAACTATTCAGCATGGTGAAAAATTTTGTAGGCTTTTATTATATAACGGGTTATTTAATGTGGTAGAGAAATATGATACCATGCTGTAAATAAATCACAGTGTCTCTTGCAAAGTAACATCCTTGCTGTGCTTTTGATGATTATGGCAATGTAAAATGCCCTTGTCAGACTTTTCGCAGTTTTATTATTTTGGTGCAGGTATTACTTTGGCTACAAGTTTTTATTACAGGCAAAAATAATGAAGAAAGGCATTAAGCATGTTACGGACCAAGCTGTACATTGAATATGTTAAGGTTGCCCTTCTTTATTATCTCAATATTCTGCATACAAACTTAGCATTTAAATTTTATAAATGGAGATATTCTCCAACCTAGGCATACCTATTTTTCCATCAAAGTAGCTGCCACACTGCAGTAGTGTTTGTAGAGTTCGTTTTATTTCTTCAGAAATATTACTGAGTTTGGAACATTGTATATTAGATGGTCATCATGTTTGTTATGTGAATTGAATCTCCAGTAAGGTAGAAGTGGAAGATTAATTGGTCTGGTTAGTGGTGCAATAGAGTGTCCTAAAAATTGAGTCTGCCAGTCACCAGTTCTCATTAGTTCAGTGGTACAAATTCTTCTGATTGAACAGGCAGTTTTACACTTTGTATTGTGTATTTCTTGTACCAAGATTTAAGCTACAAAAAATTATTTGTAAAAAAAAAACCAACAAAACAACCAAAACCAAGACCTTTTTCCTGTACAGTAGACATGGTATTCTGGGGTAGCTAGTTGTCTTACGAGGTTGGTGGTTCTCAGAAGGCTGTGGAATAAGGGCTCTTTGCCCCAGATGTGTCCACAGTAAGCCAGAGACTGTCCTGAACAGCTGGAGTACTTGTGAGATAAGTGAAGGTTACATTTCAATTGACATACATTGGAGTGTGAGGATGTCCTAGTAGCCAGAATTTATTCATAAAACCAGAACAGCCACATTCTGATTTTTCTCCTTGCTGTCTTTCTCAATACTTGAGAATACTGGAACTAGATATAATATTTTCTTATTTTTTCTTTAAAAGGCTGAAGATAAAAAAGTTGCACTACCTCCAGGGCTTGCAGCAGCAGGAAAAGCTGAGCCTTGTGATGAAGATGACCTCCAAGCTGCTGAAGAGGTGTGCCACCTGCATAGTAGGCATGGATGTTACTAACTTGGGGTCAGGGCAGCAGTTATCAGTGCCTAGTCATTCTCTGCAAGAAGGAAAATTTTCCATGCTTAGCTGAAGTCAGAGTGGCTTCCCACAGAAGGATATGGAACCTGAAATTGAGACACAAAACTAAATGCTTGTTGATGTTTAATAACAAACTGCTCAACTTTTGTCTTGCAATCTAAGCATTTTTAAAAGGTCATTTTTTTTGACTGACGGTGGGAGATGAATACTCTTAAGTGAACCTGTACTGTTATAAGGAATTTTCCTTACATTTGGTAAATTTAGCCACCTCTTTAACTTTCATAGACTTACTGTCCCATTACATGCATTAAAATACATATGTTACATGATGCTAATTGTATATGTGTGTCCCTGTCAGTAGGCAGAAGTAACTTAAATAACAAGAGATAAATTATTACGTGTCATTCTCATATTTTGCCCTAGCTTCGCATTAAAACTCTAATGACTGGAATGGCTGCCATGGCCACAGAAGAGGTAAGCAGAGTTTTAAACTGATATAGCTTTGTTTAAATTATGGTTGATTATGGCAGTTATTCCTAAAATTGAGTTAATGAGTCTGAAGTCCTGGAATGGCTGTGTTTAAGTTTTCATGAAGGAAGTTTAAGAAAAGTTAGTTTCATTAGGAACACAGTAGTTTTTACAAGGGTGATTACTTAATCATTTGCCTTTAAATGATAAAAGAAATATAAATAAGTGCCTCTTTCAAATAGTTTCTACAAGGAGATTTTCAGAGGAAAGATATCACAGTGCAGCTATGCAAGATGCAGTATGATCTTATTTTATTCATCTTGTTAAGATATCCAGGAGTAATCATTCTACTAGGAAAAGTGGAGGCAAATTGCATGAGTTTCTAGCTGTTTTTCAAAACACTTATAAATATTTATTAAAAAACAAAAACATTAGTCTCAGAGGCTGAGAATACTGGATATGTATCTTGTTTTCTTAATTGGTTCTAGTTAATGGTATAATGGAACTTGGAGGTTGTTGCAGTTTTGAAAACTCTTACATTTTGAGAGGACTAGGAAATAAGTCAGTTGTTAAGCCTTGTTTCTGGTTATGCTGAAGTTGCAGAAGAGAAGGCGGCAATTAGTCTAGTCTCGAGGTTGATTGGCATGCTTTCTACTGAAATCCATTGCAGATTGGGTTTGTACATTTGAAAGGTGTGTTCTTTCACATATCTACCTTGTTACAGTTTGGCTCAAAACGTGGTCCAACCGTGAGTTTTATTACTTTAGTTGAAAGGTTGTAAGTGAGAAATTTTCATCAGCAGTTTTTTTGGAGGTGGAATATTTCTTGGTGGTTTTTTTTTTACTTTTTCATTTTTATCCACTGTAAAGGTTTTGTACGTTTTTCTTAAAATTAGAGCTTGGGGTAACTCTCGTATAAACAGCACAGGCAGTTCCAAAACTCCAAATATTTTCTTGATGCAATTGCAGGGCAAATTGACAGCAAGCACAGTTGGCCAGATTGTTGGACTCCAGTCAGATGAGATCAAGCAAATAGTGTCAGAATATGCTGAAAAGGTAAGCGTGTTACCTGATTTTGTTTGATAGATTGTTAATTTATTGCCATGATTCTCTGGGAACACTGTTTCATGTATGCTGTAAATAGCAGCACAGTCAGGATTCAGGAGAGTATTTTAATGAGATTTAAACATGCATAAGCTTTTGGTGTGATAGTGCATATTCCTGAAGTGCATTCATGGGTATACTGCTTGGGTTTAAGTGCCTGCTTAAATGTTTTCATGAATAAAGAAAGGCTGGAGTTGATATCTGTTCAAACCAGAGGCCTAAACTCTTAATGTGTTTTAAAATATTCACTGTTAAGCACAGAAATACAGTTCCGTGGGTCTGCTCAGAGAAAAATCGATGCCTCTCCCACTTAGGCTTTCAGACACTTGGATCTCACCTGCACTGGGTTCCAATTCTCAGTCATTCCCTGGATCTCTAGTTCTGAATATAGTATCATCAAAACCAAACCTTCGTTGCTTTTAGAAGTCAAGGCAATTAAATGTGCATATTAGCTCCATTTATTGTGGTCAACTGTGATTGTTCTTACAGTAATGCAAAAAGAAAATCTGGCTCTTCAAGCAATTAATGCATACGATAAATCACTGCCAGATGTGAGTTATAGGTTGCTCTTATTTGACCAATAGTCTTGTCGTATTTCTTCCTTTTTGTTGACATATATGAGGTATGGAACTTTCCCATTTGGGAGATAAATCCTATAACTCAACACAGCCTATAGCAAATTCTTGGCCTTTCTTTATTATAAAGGATTGCAAGATCAGAAGCCCAAGGGTCATATTTCAATGTTACATTTCTTCTGTTCTGAGAGAAGGCAGCAGGACCTTGACTATTATAGTAGAACAATGATTAATACTCTGGAAAGTAAGAACTGATTGAAGTCAAACCAAAAATATATTGCTCTTCAAATCTTTTGGATGTGATCACAAAAAAAAAATATCTCTGTGTGCATTTATGCACCAGGAAAAGAGAATTAAGGATCTTATCAAATGTTTTATGGAAGCATCAGCAAAGTTTGGATATCATTGTAATAGTTTTAACCCCTTGTTACTATACATAGTCTGAAGAACACAGCAATGCTTATTTTACTACCAGAGCCTTAACAGAATCCACAGGCCCAGTGGAAATATCTGGCAAACAGAATTCTAGATTTGATGTTGCTATGTGCCAGAGCCTTTCTTACAAGATGGTATTTTTGCAGAAGGTCAGTGCGTGCAGTTTGCTGCTTTTTCCTCTCCTTTCTGCTGCTGTGTTAATTTGCTGGGTAAACTGGAAGGAAGAGTCTAGTGTCGTTCCTCACTTTTTAAAATTCCTGGCAGAAAATTATTCACATGGCTTTTATCTGTCTGTTCACCACTTAGGCCAATTATTCAAAGTAGCTTTGATTTTAATCTGCTAGAAGGATTCTTCCTCTAGAAACTTAAAAGTATAGTCATACACAACAAGGGGTTTTTGCTAGAAGTAGAATAGGAGGAAAAGCTTGTTTCCTGGTAAAAGGAGACAATGACTAAAACTACAGAGGTACTCTCTCAGAATTACTCCCTTCAAAAATGTCTGAAGGAGAATCCTCTTCCACGGTTTGAAATGGGGTTTGCAAGTTGCTGATTCAGAATATTGTTGGATTCCTGGAGTCCTGTGTCAGAGATTACTGTGCACCCTGTGCAGCCAGTTAAGTAACATACAGTTTGTGTTTCATCTGTTTAGTATGGTTAGGGATTGTCATTGACTTTTTTTTTTTTTCTTGGATTGAGGAAACCCTCAAAGATAGTGAGATACAGTGATTTTTATCTTCGGGTTCATGAGTCTTGGGAAGGTGTCAAGGAAAAATGAAGGCAGCTCACATCGAAATGACTGCTAAAGATCTACATGGAGCTTGACTGAAAACAGATTTGAACGGTTATGGGGCTGGAGACTGGTTTTGGTTTGGTTTGGTTTGGTTTTGTTTTGTTTTTCTCCGTGGGTTTCAGACAGTGGACTTCAAATTGAGGCAGCTGTCTTAGAGTTAGTCACAGATCTAAACCTCTGAAGTCTATTTGCTAGAAAGAGATGGCTGAACATGAAGAGATAAAAAAAAAATTATTTGCTGTTCCAAAGTTTGTATTTTTGTAAAAGACTTTTTTTTTTGAAGAATGTGAGGTTCTGTAATGACTGAATTATCTTTATTTGTTAGAATCTTTGTAACACTACTGCATATGAGAGAATCTCATTACAAAGAATAATAGCATCAATTGCATATATTTCTTTCCTCTTTCCCATTTATATCTTTTACATGTGAACAGTGAGAGGCAGGCTCCTGAAGTCTAGAATTAGCCATTTATTTTGGCTAGCAGTTTTTGAGCTGCTTTAGATTAGTGATCCTCAGGCGTAATTAATATGGTATTTTAACTTAACAAATTCTGTCCTAGAAAAAGAGGTCACTAACACTTCTTGTTCATCTTATTTATCTGGATTTGTTAAATCTTTTTAAGGCAATTGAGTAGTTGCAGGAAACAGGGACGAATGCAGAAGCAATTCTGCACCTGCCAGTGGTGGCAATAATGTGTGTTGACAGAAAAGTTGAAGGATGTATCCAGGTATCCCTTCTTGTCATATGCAAGTGAAGTTCTTGTTTTGAGATAGAGTAGCAAATCGATACTCTCAGACAGAAACACTAGGGCTTACATACAGCTTTTTAAAATTATGTTCAAAAGGCAACTGCTGTTTCGTCTGGTAGGAGACCAGGTAACAACAATAGTGTCGAAAGCAAAGTAGCTTCTACGGTTTTGTGCTTTCTTTCTTTGTGTGCTGAATGATGCGTTTTTCTCCACAAACTGGAACCTAATTCCTCAGTGACTTTGGAGCTGAGGTGTTACTGCAGAGCAGATCGTTAGCCCATTTTGACTGCATGAGGCTTAACCCTAGCTTTCTCATTTGCAGACCAGGGTTTTTTCTGCGGAAACCTCTGTATTATAGTTGGTTCCCATTTTCAGAAAGCAACCTTTAACAGTCCACTTCTGGAGATGTGATCTTTTCTTTATGCCCAAACTATACTGTATGTGTTTTTACTATTTTTGCAAGATCAGTGTGACTGATTTGGCTCATGTTTCTTTCTCTTGCATTTCTAGTTTTCTTGATTTGCATCTTATGCATATTAAATAGAGTAATCGTGTGGTGAGAAGGATGGGGTCTTAGAATGCATGACACGATGAGGGAATGTGATTTGGCTAACTAATGAGAGGAGTAAGTAAGTCTGAGTGTGTATTTGCTGAATAGTTCATTGTTTCAGGTGTTGCTTAAAGGCATTTTTTTTCTTTCCTAACAGACAGAAAGAAAGTGTGTGAACTGTTGGGTTAAGATGTCAGAATGGGTCTTTTCTTGCTGTGGGTATAAAAGTATAGCAAATCATTAAGCTGCTCTTCAATGTGAAAACTAGAAAATGGAGAAGAGAAAGACAGGTTTTTGCCTTGAATTTTCTTTTAAAATTAAGCTGTTAATGAAGACCTGCTTACCCATCTGCCTAGACTGGATACCAGGAGCAAATATGAGTGAAGAGTATTTCATACTTGTAACGTTTTTGCTGATTAAACGTTGTAGGGGTTGTCAACATTTGGTAATTACGCAAAAAACACTTAGTGTTCCAGTCTGTGACAAACTCTGCAAATTGGCACCTGAAGTACTTGAAAATTAACTTTTTCTAGCACAATATTGTAAAACAGAGTAACTGGGAAAAGAAGTCTGAGTGCATGAAGCAAATGAGCAAACCAGATGGTTATAAGTATTAAAGTGAGGAATTTCCAAAGGTACAGATAATGTTAAGGTGAATAATCACTTAGACACGTAGCTATTGCTGATCCTTAATCGTTCTTATGTCTGTGCAAATGTACAGTTTGTGTCACAAATGTTATTCCTGGTAAAGAATGTTTCTGGCAGCTTCCTTGTCACAATTCAGAGAGAACAGGAGACTGGGTCTGGATTGCTCTCTTCATTATGTACTTAGGAGACACTTTCTTGGCAATTCAGGCTGGATTGAGTAGCTTTCAAAGAGTGGCGTCCATGGTACATGCAGAAAAAAATGCTTAGAGTGGTAAATGTATCTACCGCACCGAGTACGTCATCGTCACTCAGCACAGAGATATATCCAAGCCAGTATTTCAGAATCTAAATACAGAATTGTTCGCGGCTATTGAAAGTTCTAGATCTGCTTATTGGGGCACAGACCATCTCTGATTTAACAAGTACAGTAAATACCACTGTTTGAAGGGGATTTTACCATGACTGTATTTTTTCTGTTGAAGAACTTCACCAGGTTTAACTGTAATGCTGATGCCAAAAACTATTTCTTTCTCCTATATTCCACCTGTGCCAGGGCACCAAACCTTATTTCTAGCTTAGTTTACCTGTTACCTTCGGGTTATAGTTCAGTTGTTCAGCTGCTTCCTTATCTTGATGCAAGATGAATTGGTAAGTCATTCTTTCTGTTGGGTAGTGAGACACAATTCTTGATAAGGAATATCACAGATATGTCTCACTTTGGTGTTTCCTGAGCTACAGAAGAAACAAAAAAGTAATGATGTGAGGTCAAGCAGGCTGTTATTCTTTGTTTTAGCAATCTGAGCTTTCCTCTGAGGAGCGACCAGAAAGGCTTGGAGCTGCCCAACAACATAGAAGGAAGGTGGCATCTCTGAATAAGCAGATTTTGCAAAAAACCAAACTCCTGGAGGAGGTAAGAAAACATTGATAAATGTGATTGATCCCAAAGTTTTTGCCATCCAGAAGAGATGTGCGATCTTCTGTACCAGGAATTTGTCACACTGAACATTCATTTCAGCATCTCTGAATATCGTTCTTGCACATGTGTTACTAAGACAGTGTGCTTAGTTTTATATTATAAAAAAATTGTTTATACCTGCCTGTGAGGAGGAGGCTAGCTAATCAAAATATACTTTTCCTTATTTTATTTTTGTTTCCAAACCTCTCTTGGAGAAAACCAGAGTATCTCCATTTGACTATAGTGTTGAATGGGCTGTTTTCACAGTTTCAAGAAACAGCTTAGAAAGTTATTCTAAAATACGCTATAAATGACTTTTTATCTCTTCCTGTCCTTTGTATGAGCCAGCTTGTCTCTCTAAGGTAGGATTTTTACTTGTGTGTTTGTGGGCGATTTTGTCAGTCAGTGCTTGGCTCACATTTTCACATTTGTTTTAGGGGAGAAAGGCGCTTGAATTTGTGACTAATGTTCTGTTCATATCTAAAAGTAAGAGCAAGAACTACCACTCCTGTATTTCAGCCTACTTACATTATTGTTATTTAAACCCAGAAAAGTAGAAGAGTATGCCATTAATGAAATGCTGCTTTTAATTATGCATGCTGCTGCAATCAGCACCATGCCATCGTTAACGTGCAGAATCTGATGAAAACGTACTGCATCAGAGTCTGTAATTGGAAGAGCTTGCCAAAAATAAAAAAAATACAGTGCTTGAGGAAAATCTGTTGCTGCTGTCTTCTGTGGTTGAAACCCTGTCAAGTACAGTCCTGCTCCAGCAGCCTTTGTCTGTTTTTCCTTTTGCTTTGCTCTTGTCGGTGATGTTTCAGTGCTTTACCCCTTAACGGGTTTTACCTATTAAATGTTAGGGGTACAAGGGCTCCAAAAGGTAGGTGCCTGTATGGCACTTTTAATGAGACAGAGATAGGTTCAGTCCTACAGAGGTAAAAGGATGGTAGCTTTGAAACCCTTACCTGCTGTGGCATAACTGTGGGAGCACTAGATTGTAAATCTTCCTGCTTAGCTGCTTACTAGACCTGACTTTATTTTTAAAATGAGAATGAAATAGTCTCTAGCAGTGCAAAAAAGTCTTACTTAAAGGGTGGTGTTTTCCCTTTTAAAGTCTTTTTTCAGCAAAGCATATGCTGTGAACTATTTTTTTGAAGTCTTTGACTAACGTGCAAGTAGTGAAAGCTATAAAAATAAAAACCGTGCACAAAAATTTGGAAAGACTAATTGCCTATCCTGTTCTTTGTTTCTCTCCTCTTTTTTCCAACTTAATAAAAAGCTTTATGAAGAACTGGTGCAGATTCTTCTTAATTTATTTTGCACAAAAAATACTTTCAAAGGGTGGAATATGACAGTGTTTTAACTGGTAAATATAAGAATGCATTACTTTTTGGAACATGCTGAACTAGTTTTGTTCTTAAAAGGATGCATTTCTGTTTGTGTTGCTCTCTAGTATGTCCTATATATTAAAAATACACCTTTTTCATGGTCAGTAACACTAAAATTGTTATTTGCACTGTACATTGAAGGTAAACCGTGTGTGTCACAATTCCTCTGCATTCTACAATGAAATAGTAGAAATATAAGTGATACTATGATATACTGAAATTAAATATACTTCTCTTTTACTTAAGTTTTTTTTTTTTTTTACTTAAGTATTTTAACACTTTGGTAATATGAATAATCCATGTCTACTTATGTCAAACGTAACTTTGATGTCCTGTCAACATGATGAATGTTAGTAAAAAAATACTGATGATACATAGCATTTAAATGCAGGCGGAACTTGTCAGGCTTTCAAAATCATAGTATGGGGCTTGCAGACAGTTAAATCCTGTGTGAATTCCCATGTTGGTTTAAGGTTTTTTCCTGAAGTAGAAACGCAAATTACACAATGAGACCTTTGGAATTTCCTCAGTGGAGGAGAAAAGGATATTCAGTGTCCCGAGTCATTGCAGTACGTTTCTGTCACATTTTAACTCTTCTCTTAAACCACAAAGGCCATAAGACAAATACGTGCAGAGGTCAATACAGATGTGCTGGGTGCATGTAGTAGGACAGAGACAGATGTGGGCGCTCTTAGCATCTGCTCTGGGTGAGCGGGTTGCAAACCTGTCCCAGGTAAGAAGCTTTGTCATGACTGACAACGATGGGGCACATTTGCTCAGGCTGATCAGGCTGAAGGATGTTCTAGTACAGTTCTACAGGTTTTGAATGGATTTAGGTTGTCTCCACCAGCTCGTATCCACCTGCAGTTTCTCTGCAGGCAGTTTGTTGACGTACCTGGAGGCAGGTTCGGTTCTGAACGTGTGTGTGCACTACACCACCACCTAGCTGAGTGGGAAGAGAGGCTCAGCAGCTGTGCGTGGCTTTTGCAGCTATTCTGTGTCGTTGTGTCATCATGGTCTGGAGAGCAGAAGGGATCCACCAATGTCTGTAGGCAGTTGCAATGACTGAAGCCTTCAGAAGCATGTTTTTTCTGTAACAGATGGCTAGTATCTTCTAGAGAATTGTCACATAGTGTGGCTACTGACTTAGTAATGCAAAAACTGCCTGCAAAGTAGGTATGTGGTGAGCGGATTATGTTTTCATGCCTGGTGCAGGTAATTACCAGTTTCTCTGAGACATGAATGGATGTATTTGCTTGCTCTCCACATACTGCTGATAAGGAGAAAGCATTTTGCGGTGGTGAGGAAACATGATTGTAAACCACATAAAATTGGTAAAGTCCTTGTTTCTTTACAGATCTGCTTTTACCTGCCAAAAAAACCTTCCTAGTCCGCACAAAAACTGAAGTATGTTCTAAATCTGCTATCATGCTGTTTGCCATTTTAACAGTTGAGGGCCCTTTAATTCCATGTTAGTTATTTCCAGTACATAACAGTCTCAATGCTACGTTTTCGTGTGGCAAAAAAGTACTGACAGCCATAAGCCAAATATAATCCTTTTGTCCTTTAGTAAAGTAAACATTTCCTGTGGAAATTTTTTTACCACTTGTCAGGACTCCCCCTTTTAAAAAATGTTTGTGAAGTTCTGGCTTCAACACTGCAGTAAGTTTCGGCAAGAGTTCTTACAACAAACAATTCTTTAATCTTTCTGTCAATTTTCCTGAAATGTGGGCCACAAGCTTAAATTATTTTTTTTTCAGGTAGTTAGAATTCAGTCTATTGGTGGATTCTTGGTGAAAAACATAAAAAAATGAAAAAGCTTTCCTTTTTATAAGTTTGGCTGTGGAAAGGGATGAGAGGAGTGTTGAGTCACAGCCCCGCGTTGTGAACAGCAAACTGAACCAACATGGAAACACGTGGAGCAGAAAGCCAAATGTGCATTTCTTTGTTTGCAGCGCTCCTGCTCTTGTTTTTATAACTCATGTCCCCTTTTTATTGTACTGTTTGCAATGTTATCTTAAATCCTGAGGGCTTTAAAGAAGAATGTTCTAGAATTAGCCTCTGTAAATTATTTGACAAGTGAAATAGCCAGTGGTGTTTTGTTAACTGCCTTCTTATTAGACTTCCCATAGTTTCACAAAAGAAAATCATAAACCAGCTTGCTCTTGTGGTATAGACATGTCTGTGGTACGGTGTCGTGGTGCTTTTATGCGAGTTTTGAATCGCCCTGATTTATTTGGAGAAGTACAAAACAGGACTCTCTCCTAAGCCTGATGTGAAACTAGGCCAGTGTAACCAGCAAAGGAGCAGAGATTCTGCCCAACAAGTCACCGTTTTGTTGGCATCCATTTTGTAAAAGCTTCCACATCTCGAAGGTCAGGTGGAAAAATGTTTGCTGTTGTTAATTATTCACTCAGAACTCTTTCAGTCGGGGGCTCTCAGAGAGTATTTGTGATGGTTGGCCTATTGTTTAATAGACAGCCTTTATTAACAGCTCAAATATTGCTCTTCTTCATTACAGGTGTAATTAGCCTGAAACTCTTTTCTTTTTCTTTCATAATAGTTGCAAGCTAAATATACTGATCTGCAGGCAAAATGTGCCGAAGCAAAGAAGACGTTAACAGAGGTAATCTTTGCTTTCCTGTGTACTGATTTTAGCTGAATGGTTTTGAGTTTGGTGTGTAGAGGGATATACTAAATGGAGAAGGTGTTTGACAACTTAACTTACTGATCTTGTGGTGTGGGAAAGCTACCATGAATCATTCTGTGTGTGGAAGTGTGTTTCAATTTCTGATTAATTGCAACCCTTAGGTTAAGAGTTACAGTGAAAAGCTGGACAAGGAATTGGCAGCCTTAGAAACAATAGAATCCCAAGCAGATTCTAGGTGAGTTTCTTCTTTTGTGACCTTTGAAATTCTGAAAAATGATGGCTTTTTAAAATGAGTCATTCCATGTTTTTTGCTTTGCCAACCTATACAAATAACTGAAATCAAAAAATTAAATCATTCTCCAGCTTGCTTTCCAAAGATAGGAAGATATTACTGTAGCATTCAGTCAGAATGAAAAGTGTCAATCTGTAGTTGAAAATAATTGTACATATTTAAAGTAAAAGAACTATAGCTACATCTGACAAGTAGATGAGGCCTTTCTGATTTTTCTTCATATTTGACGGCTTAATCTCAAATTAAATAGGAGTCTCTCTCAAAATTTCTTCAATAATGAGGTCAAAACCATCCAAATGTGCAGCGTAATACTACATTTTTATTTTTCCTTGGTGTATCAGTGGTGATGTTGGAGTTTTTAATTTACACAGATTTTGTTGGACATGCCCTTAGGACTAAGCTTGTTCTAATGTCTTTTAGTTCTCCATCTATTTAAATCAGAAACTAAAAATCTAATGTGTTTTACTCAATCTTTGAATTTAGCGTATTACAGAGTCTGCGAGCACTGGTGGCCATGAATGAAAACCTAAAAAGCCAGGAGCAAGAGTTCAAAGCACATTGTAGGGTAAGTTTTAGTTTCCTATATAAGAATTCATTTGAGTAAATAAGCATTTTACTTCTTCCCAATTTGTTAGCATCATATTGAATATTGACACCAGCTTGATTTGCGGCAGAATTATGGACAGTTGCCTGGTTCTGCAGTGTGTCATATCTGCAACAAGGCTGGTGGCCAAGAAGGCTGGAACTGGATTAACCGGAAGAACTTTCCCCCTGCACTGGGGCAGGGAGGTGTAAGGACAGCTGCCGAGGCATCTGGCTTGGTGTGACCTTCTGTGTCCAGTTGTGCCTGGGACTCTTTAAGACATCTAAATCCAGATCACCCTTGTACTGCTTGCAGCTGTGGCTCTCCTCGTTCCCATTGCTGTTCTGCCGAGAGCACCTTGGGGTGGCTTCTCCTGAAATGGATTGTCTCTTCTTGGGTAACGCGGTTGGCAGTGGTGCAAGGAGAGGCGCAGTGCCGAAGAGGAGAGCTGTGTGGAAGTACTTCATAGCCACCAGAAGAGAGAAGACTGAGATGAAGCTATTGCAGTTTTCAGAGCATGTTTCATTTTCACTGCCTAATTGTTATGGTTTGCTGTGCTGGTTACTGCTGTGTTTATGGACTGCCTAGAAATGTGATCATTTTTATTTTCTTCTATTTAAACAAGAGTGGATGCAATTTAAGAGAATGAAAAGAAGCAAAAAGAGATTGTGCCCTGAGGAGTTGACTGAGCACGGGAACATCATTTTGCGATACATACTGCTTTGGAAAGCTCTGAAGCCTTGTAAAGGAAACCACCTTGGCATTAGCTTCAGGTTCATTCATTTTTGCAAATGCCAGGTGTTCCAGTCCCATGGCATGTTGTTGCTATTGTAATGCTCCTTTCCTTCCTCAGTTTTGTTTTTTTGTGTCACTCAGTTGTCCTAGATAGATCTAGTATATTTGCAAGTAAGAAATTAATCTATTCCTGTGTTTGATAAAAGCAGATAGGTTTATGTAGTGAGTAATAATAGATGCCTTACCCTTAAGCAGGGAATGCTGTTCAGTCTTACTAATTTAAAGTGTGTGATCAGCTCCACAATTTTGAGAGGCATATATTCTCAAGCTTCCTGCTCTCCCCTGTTAAGAGGATAGGTCTCAGTTAAAAGCAACATTTTTGTTTGTTTGTTTTAAAGGAAGAAATGGAGAGACTTCAACAAAATATTGAGACTTTGAAAGCTGAAGCGGAGGAAAATGGGGAGGAACAGGTAATAACAGTGTCTGAGGTTTTATTTTCAATTTGCATTTTATAATGTTGGTTTTAAAATGTTGGTTTAGGTCCTTCTGATTTTTGGGACATTCTTGTAAGCATTGAAATCTCTGTTGCAGTCTTTGAAAAATTCTGTTCTCCCCCACTGGTAAAGTTGTAGTTCAGGCTTACTAATCGCAGAAATACATCACGTTGAAAATAGCTGCAGTATCCTTCATTATCCTTGCGGCAGAATCCATGGGGCTAACTTGTAGATCCTTCTGGCCTTTTACGTCTTTCTTTGTAGTACCAGAGAAGAATCTCTGGATGTTGTGTTGAGAGCTGTGCATACCTCTGACAAACCCAGGTTTTCCTCAGAAAGCGTATTTGTTTTGGTGGTTGTTTTGTTTTTTTTTTCCTTAAGCGTGGATTTATTTGAAGGATGAAAGCAGAAGTTTTCAGTGGCTCGGTACATTGCATGCCGTGAGCAGCTGTTAGAAATTAGGCTTTAACACAAGTGCATCCAGACTGATGGCAATGAATAATGAATGAATAGAAAAGGAAAAGCTTGAATGACTTGTATTTTCAGTGGGTAAACGTTTGATACATTTATGCCTCTGAAATGAGGTACATTACAGGTTCCATGATGCTGCTGTACTTCTGAACACAGCATGAAAAAATCAAAATGTAAACCTAAATCTTAACTTTTTTAATTCCAAGCGAGGAAATCTAGAAAACATGTCCGAGGGTTTGTTCTGCCCTGGGACGTGTTTATCCATAAACCCACCACGGAATGGAAGTGTAAACATTCAAACAAGGAGTATGGAGAATCTTCTGATGCACACCTTCGTTTAAAGTGTGACTGTCGTAAAGCAGCAGAAAAATGATAGACAAGCCTTGAAAACTAAATATCAAAGGCTTAAGCTAGCAAAAAGCACTTGTTTACAGTAAAAGGTGTAAGTTTTTAAATGCAGATTATGAATCACTGTTAAAAAAAATAACAGCAAGTGGTGGTGTGGGAGCCATTACATGGAAGATAGACAAATACAGAAAACAAACCCAGTTTGCACGTTTTTGTATTGCAGCTCTCATGCTGCTGTAATACACAACTGTTTTGGTTTCTCAAATTCTAGGAGCCGAATAAGATTATAGAACAACAGTACAAAACTGAGAAAGATAAACTCCAAAAGATCCGGCTGTTACTGGTGAGTGACTTGTACTTGTACGAAGTCATAAACATTTTTCTTATCTTGTAATTTCTAAAAAGTCTTTTTGTTCTAATTTTAAAACCTTTTTCTGACACAAATCATTTAAAAGAAAAATTGAGCCTCAGCCAATGCTTAAAAAAAATTATTTAGTAACAAAATATTGCTGGGGGGTCTTCATCCATTTTAAGAAGAGAACAAGAAGAGGCTTTGTTTTCTCCCCTCCTAACTTTCTATTCAGGCACGAAGAAACAGAGAAATAGCCATTTTACAACGCAAGATTGATGAAGTACCCAGCCGAGCTGAGCTAACACAGTATCAGAAGAGATTTATTGAACTTTACAGTCAGGGTATGTATATCAAGCAGGAAATCCTGCCGAAGGCTAAAGCCCTGAAAGGAGGGCAATTGCATTTTAAGTGTATGGCATGTAACAACAGCACTTCTTAATTTTGTGGTATTTTAAGGGTCTTTTGGTATTTGTGTTATACACCTTATTTTCAAGATTTTATAAGCTGTTTATAAGGATTTTCCCGAGGGTGAAACTTGATGCACAAGATCTCTGGAGTAAATTTTGTCTGCAGCAGGTTGGGTCGTTTAGGTTAACGATGAGGATGTTTAGAAAGTTCTTAATTCACCATTTACAAATGAGATTGCTGTAAATTCAAGTCATGTTTAATTGATTGCTTTTAATGTTTGATTGCTTTCATTGTTTTCACTGCCGTGAGACATCTGGTTCTGACCTAAATTAAGGCAAGAACTATAAAGGCTATTTCTTGAAGGGATCGTTTTCTTTCATTTTTGATGTATAAATTTTCTGCAGTATCTTAGTAGGATCAGAGTACAAATTGTCTTTAAGCTTCTTTTTATTTTAACAAGCTATAAAACGGGGAACTGTGCTCATCTGACTTTTTGGATAGGTGTGTGGATGCTGTGTATGGATGGCATGGACCATGCAAACTGAATAAAATTTCCCAGTTGTTCCATTAAACTGGTAACAGACCAGTGTACTTACTGGGGTATATTTAATGTAGCTTGTGTATTAGCATAAGCTATAATAAGTTTCTACAAAGATAGAATGAGCTGATGTTTTAAAGATATTCATTTATTAATGGTGTGTGAACCAAGCTCTTGAAGATTGAGCAGCTCTAAAATTCTTATTTAATTTGGATTGAGATCCTTTGCCCTGATGAGGCATGTTTAGTGATATAGGCGTGTGCTGTCGAACTCGGTGCATGGAATAGATGCACTTCTTCAGTGAGTACGAGGCCAGCACTTCCTTCCCCCTGCTCTGCTTCTATGAGCCATATAGTTTATTTAATCAAGTCCAGCTATGAAGATAACTTTGTCTTGCATTAAATTTTCTACAAATTGTTTTCCCTCTCATATCTAAGTAAATTCAAACAAATAACCTGTGGTCAGAGCAGCTACCTGCTTACAAGATGAGGGCTTCAAAAGTATAGAAAGATTAAGGTCGAACAGATTTGTGCAGCTTTGGATGTAGATTTAAGATGCTTTGAATTTTATGGGACTTTGCTTTCTATAGTGCAAAATCATGTGTAGTAACTTAGGATAGCACACTGCTCAGTCCTGGCCAGGAACCTGCTAAGCTTTTGGAAAAATGAGCTTAAAATCTCTGGCAAGTCTTTCTGTGAGTTGTGGTGGATTTTTAGAGGTAGATTCAAGTGATCTTCGAAGTTGCCAAAACCTGTTTTTTTGAACTTTCATTCAAAGGGTGTTGGACAAGACAATCTTCAGCGATATCTTCCAACCTCAACAATTGTGTACTAGAATGCTTTTAAGTTCTGATTTTCTGTGCTTGATTTTTGACCTGACTGAACTTCTTCCCTCAAAAACATTAAGCTGCGGTTTCAAGAGAATCAATGAGCCGAGTGGCTCCTTCTTCCTCTTTGTCTTATCTTAGGTGGGCTCTGGCGTGTGCACATAAGGCTCCATAAGCCAGTACTACTTTCTAACCTAGAAATAGAAATGCTGCAAAGTTTTCTTCTAAGTTGGTATGTGCAGTCCACTCGTAAAAGATCTGTGACTACCAAGGCTGCTGCAAGAAAGGGGAAGAGCTGCATAAAGGAAATAGTTTGGGAAAGGCCTCTTCCATTTGGCAGCAGTCCTGCAAAAACCAAATTGATTGAGAGCACACCTGAAGTAAGCCTGTTGGCGATTCTTGTGTTCGTGCAGTTTTTCAAGAAGTAGCCTGATTTCAGCGTTTGGAATATCATTGTGGAACATGCTCAACAGCCCTTAGTAACTTGTTAACCTTTCCCAGGCTTTCCTGAATTCTCACTGCTGTCAGGCTCCAGCGGGTCAGCGGGTCTTGACACTAGAGCATGTGCCGAACGTATGTCATAGTCATGCTGTGGTCTTGAGAAGGCTCTTTGGTCCTGAGTAGCCACTGCTGGATTTCTGGTACCAAGACAAGTCAAATTGGAGCAGTGGGTTGCTGTTGGTCTTCAGCTGGAGAACAGAATTATACAAATCAAATGTTGGAATTTCTTTAAAAGTTTGGGTGTTCAGTGATGATGTAATGTGGGAGGATGGTAAATAGTTTCATTCAAAAAATTAGTCCAGTGTATCACTGGACAGTTCAGTAAAGGTTTTAATTAAAGATGGCAACTTGTTAGCCTTCAGAAAAGTTTAATGTAATGAGCATGATTTCACTCAGGTTTATCTTTAACCCATACGTTTTTTGCACATTGAGGATTCTAGACAGTGCTTGATATATTGGCCATAATTTTTGCCAGCTGTCCTTCTCTGCTGAACTCTTTCCTTGGGAATCACAAATATCTTGGTTTAACTTAGGCTTTGAAGAACTAAAGCACAGATATACACTTAGCACATCTGAGATCAGTCGTCATCTTTTAGGCCCAAAGGAGGTGCATGTCTGAGCCTTACCTTCCCCACCGAGACTAACATCTGCTATAATCACCTAAACCAGAAAGTGTTATTTGGGGAAAAAAAAAATGTTTTGTTCTATCAGTATGAATAAACTGTAAGAAGAGGAAAAAGGCTTTAGAGCAGTGAAAGCTTTCTTGGGCATCTTGCATGTGAGTAGCTCGAAATATGTAGTATAATGCACTTTTTTTCTGCACAGTACTACCAGGTTGTGTGTTTCCTATCTGTCCCTGCCAAGGCTATGCCTCTCCGCCACTGTGGGCAAGCTGTGTGAGGGCAACTGTTAGCAACACAGAAGCCTGTGAGGTGTGAGGGGAAAGCTTACAAGGGAAAGATGAGCAAGACAGTGGTAAGGAAACACAGCTGAGAGTGCCAACATACGCTTACATAAAGGACTGTCAGCAGTTGAGCTTTAATTTAAACACTGAGCTGTGTTGCTCTCGTAAAATCTGATAGCCAGAAAGCCTTCTGAAGATTTACATGCAGAGGGAGTATTCTTCCAGAAGGTAGAAAAAGAGTGTATTCCGTTGTTCATAGTGGAAAGTATATTATATAAGGCCTACGAAGTATTTTTCAGATTCCATTTCACCTCATGCTCTTTTATCATTCTACCCTTTTTTTTGGTTTGCAGTCTCAGCAACTCACAAAGAAACGAAGCAATTCTTTACTCTTTATAATACACTGGATGATAAGAAAGTATATTTGGAAAAGGAGGTAAGAAAATGCTGTTACTGTTTTCTAAATATTCAGTCTGTGGAGAAGGAGATAAAGAGATTTGACTTGGTTTTCACAATATTCAGTCGTGTCAGAGCAGAAGTAGCAGTCTTTGTAGGTAAAAATGAAACATTCATTAAAATATTTCAAATGTTGAGGAGGAAATGGTCTGTGTTGTAAAAGAAATACTGTTAGTATAGCATGTTTAAAATACTCATTGTCTTCCCAAAACATGAGTAAAATTTAATTAGCAAGTATCTCTGTCTTGGTATCACAGGACCAGGTTGCCCTCTTTTTCTCTTTTTGTTCAGTATCTTTTATTATGAACCAGTTCTACAGTCAGTAACTTTGGACAGTGGATTCCAGCTGCTGTCAGCAACACTGGAGAGTTCTCGGGTCTGAGCCTGCCTACAGTGAAGTTGCTGGTGATTTTACTGATCAGGATCAGAAGACTAGTTCTCATGGAAGCAACTTTTTATATTTTTCCCCCTCTCCTCTCTTCCTACTATATAGAGTTTGTGTTTGTCAATCTTTTAGATTGATGTCAATCACAAGAGAGAGTTCTGAATGTCTTCTGATGTAGTCTTAACTTTGTTAAATGTATAATATAGTTGAGGTTGCCTTGTGTTGCTTTTACTATTAGAACTACGGTTTAAGCCAGTAAATATTATCTAATAATGTATAAAAGATGCCTTTGGCATCTGTGCCTCACAGTGATTTCTAGAATATGCTTGTGCTTCTTATTTTTTTCTTATCCTCAAACCAACGTGTTCATGAAATGCACTGAGCATAGTTACATTAAAATAACAATACCAGAAATTGTTATGCAGTGGAATATTGGCTATTAGTTCTGACATGAATATGGCTCATATTTTAATTATATTTTGTGAAATATGCATTTTTAAAATGCCTTTAAACTTACTTTTTCATATTGTCTTTGATCTCAGGGATTTATACACTGATTTTGCAGTTTGTAATTTAACACATCAGCACTCTTACTATGCAATAGCTGTGCAGTGTTACTTTTTGTGACTTGTTTGTTTTGTAGCATAAACTGTAATTACATTCTTAAATGCATGCCTTTTGGAAATATCTTGAGGCAGGGATGTGGATTGGCCAAATATTGATGAGTCATGCAATAATTTCTTTCCTCTGAGTAACAGGAATTCTTAAGCGTTTGAACTGCTTTGCAGTCTGTTCAGAATTTGTGTGTTTGAATTTTTTGAAGTCAGGTCAGGAACAACTACGGGTTCTGCCGTGAATGTGCTTATTGCTGTCTCATTCAACTGGAAGATTTTAGATTGGGGAGAGATCGATTCAGCTTTCCGTAGCAGTGGGGCAAGTGATTCTGTTTCCAATGCTTAGGTTTGCTCAGTACAGAACACCTTGAAATATTCATCAAAAGGAGAAACTGCTTGGAAGGCTTAACCACAGGAGGCTTGTGAGCAAGAAGTATTCAAAGCCAAGAGAGAGAATCACGTTAGTTGCTGCTTGGTGAATTTTAGTGCTCTCGGCAGTATGTAGAAAGGAAGAAAAGAAATCAAAGATGGGTTACATAGCAATAATAGAATATATAGTTTAATTAGTTGGGGGAGTTTGTACTGAGAGCCACAAAATATTCATGCGATGCTGTTGCAGATTTCTGTCTTGATGCAGCGCAGTGTTAGTATTTTATAAGAGGGGCCGTGCGTATGAAATGCCATTCTCTGCTTTTTAGAAGTCCATCCTTTAACAGCCGATGAAATGCGTATAAGCAAAGGGGATAACAATGCATGGCTGTTTGTAAACCTGTAAAACTCATCGGCGCAGTGAAAGCAGTGCAGAAATTCACCTGCAGTTCCTGCGCTGCTTGGTGAGTCTTCAGTGTTGTGTGGAGATGCTGGTTCCGGTCTCAGAGATAAAAGGAGGGGGAGTGTTTCTGTTTGTCTTGATGTTCTTTTTGTTGTTGATTTGGTTTTTGGTAGTGGTAGTGTGTTGTTTATTTTTTTTCCCCTCTCATGGAATGCTTTGCTTCAGCTGATGAGCTGAGCTGCATCTTCTCGACAGAGGTACAGTGCGAATAGCTTCCACGCTCACCCCTTCAGCACCGTTAATACAATCTGGGTTTCTTTTGATTGGGCAGTGAGGAGTTATTGCTTGGCGTTTTTGCTTGGTAGGATGCAGGGTTTTTTAAAGATACTTCTTCATTTGCTGTTCTGTCTGGCTTGTAAGCATAGTCAGGGATATGCCTAAGTCAAACAATTCTGCTTTATCGCTACAAGTAAGATTTGTTACGTGACCCTAATACAACCACAACGTATGCTTGTGCTCTGTCACTGGACACTGCATGAGCACCTGTAAACTACTTATACATCAACGTTCAACACATGTTGGACACATGGATATGCCATTTTCCCTCATAGCTTTAGTTTGGAGAGTCATCACACTAAAAGGTTCTCAGCAGTATAACTGGGTGTCAGTAAAATTAAAAATCTGATTGTGGTCCAAGACTTTGTTCTGCCTTTTGTGCCTCTTCCACTGCGATGGGTTTTGTTAGTACAAGAGAGTCACACTTTCTCTCCTGAAAGTTAATTCATGGTGATTTTCATACAGCTGGCTGGTTTTTGGGGCAATACTCATATAGTCAAATTTTTGAACTATATTTCATGTTATTGTCTGTGAAAAACTCATACCAGAAAGGACAAATGTATATTTTATTATTCTTTTTCTCATTCACAGGTTAACTTACTGAATTCTATTCATGACAACTTTCATCAGTAAGTAATGGTCTTTTTTTTTCTTGATAGTTACAATGAGTTAGTACAGTTTGTTGGAAAATTTGGAGTGGGCGTGAGTTAGAGAGACTAAAAATTTGTTAGAAATTTTTACAAACATACACTATTTTATAAAATAGTGTATTAATTCTCTTTAAGCCAATGTTTGGGGAATCACAAGCTTGTAACTACCTAACTTCTGTAGCCAACTTATGTTTTTAATATCTAGTTCTTCATTTGGAGTTGTGGAAAGAAATCATTCAGTCATAGTTTTTCTGGCATTAATTTAAATATTTTTCCCCATTTTGAGAAGTTGTTATTATGTTATGTACAAGACATTAGACTCTGGTGTATTTCAGACATATTTGTTATAAACTAATGCTCTATATAAAGATTTTTATATAGGGTGGAATCTTTAGGTAAAGTTATGGTTCTGTTGGAAGTTCAAGGTCAAATAGTCTGTGATGCAGTTGGCATTTATTTTTTTTCTGTTTTTTTGACTGGAGGGGGAAGTCCTGTATGAATTTTTGCCAGCAATATGGTTCAGGAGAGTCATGGGGCTAGAGATGGCCACTTAGTAGTTTTAAACAATTCCTCCTATTATATCTCTGTATAATTCTATTGTGAAATTCTAAGCTTTGTAGGGTTTCTGTCTGTACTTGCTTCTATGCATTTGTCCTTCTGTGATTGGTCAGAATTTTTTTTTATTATTATTTTTTTTCCCTATTGCCATATCCAGAACTTTTAATTACAACAAAACCCAGGAATTAACTATTTCAGATGTTTTCCTTTGCAGCAGAATTGTAGATCTATTTTGCTCAGTGATGAGATTGTTTTGATTCTGTCCAGTCAGTAGAAACAATACTGTAATCAACAGTTGGGGTTTAGATTGTTTTTTTAGTTTTACGGGTATGTGGGGGCATGGGTGGGGATGTTTTATTTTCTTTGGTTTATTTCTTGTAATCTATTTAACATACTTTACATGTCTAAAATTACTTCTGGGCTTTCCTCGTGAGGGCATGAAATTATTTTTGGAATATTTGCTGATCTCCTAATCTGCTAGCCCCCTTAATATTTACAATAGCTGCTTTTATAACAAGTTTGTACTTTTGGTTAGTTAATAGCCATTTATTTCTAGACCTCACATGAGAGAAAGGAATAGACTACAACTGGCATCAGAAACACTGTTACCTGAAATCATTGGTTAAGAAGATGAATTTTTATACAGAACACTAAGCAATATGAATTTTTGGACTTGGATCAATATGCAAGACAACTATAGATGAGATACTTTGCCCCACATCGCTGTCGGTTGTTACCTTTTTTCTCTCCAGAGCAATGGCATCTTCTGGTTCTCGAGAGCAGTTTTTGCGGCAGATGGAGCAGATTGTAGAAGGCATCAAGCAGAATCGAATGAAGGTCTGAGACTCTTTTCGCTTTCTTTGCTAGAACCTGGGAATTATTTCAGAAAAGCCTCTTGGATAATAACTGTGCATGGAAAAATCCATTATGTTAGTTGCTTGCTTAATTTGCACCTCGCTTTCCACATTCATAAAAACTTCTCACTACTACATAAGAGTAGAACAGAGGTGTTGTAACACCTCTCTCCTGACAGAGATAGCTTTGTTATCGGCAGTGTAGTGATTGAGATGCTTGAAGCAGCTGTTTGGGTTGCAGGGCTGCAGTCAGACCCGTGTCTCCGGCAGCTGGAACCACTGGAAGCGGCTCCCGCTGTCAGCAGCACCTCACCGAGTGCCAGCCATCTGCTTCCCTTGTCCCATTCACATCTGACACCTTGTGGAATCCGCTCAGGTGTTTTGGAGTTGTCTTTATTGCTTTTAACCTGATTTAGAAAAGGCTCAGCGTTGCTCATGAATACATGCCAAGTGAAATGGGTTTGTGGGTGAGCAGAACCCCAGGGCTCATTCAGAGAGAGCTGCTTCTGGTAACGTTCAGGGGCTACTTCTCAAAAGCACAGCCTCAGCAGACTTGTGTTAAGTGATCTTTGGGAAATTTAAGCATGAGGTCCAGCAGTGGCTCCAGGTAAAGCTGTCCCTTTGCATACAACGGATAGATTTAAATACTTCTTATTAATGGTAGCTACTAACTTATAGCTATTATGTTGCTTCACTCTTATTTTCATATGTGAGCACATGTATGTTTTGCTAAGTCCCAGAGAGGGTTTCTGAGATTCTTTTCTCTATAAACCAAGAAAATTCTTGGTGGTGGGTTATAGCTGTTCTTTATCAGAGTTTAAATGGAAGTGTGATAGACTATGAATCAATATTTACTAGAATGTGTACTGAAAGGGCAGTCTGTCCAGGTATTGGGCTGTTTTATCTTGATAGCTAAATAGAAACTTCAAGTACAAAATATGTTAAGTATGTACTAGAGACAAGCAAAATGGGCTGTAATTCAAGCTGTAGTAAAGCTCTTTTGGACTAATAAACTCTTAATATAAAAATAAGCGACATCTGCCACAGACCGCTGTGTTAGAAGAGGTGACTAGTTCATTGCCTTTTTATGCAGTGAATTATTTTTATTTGCTTGACTTTTTTCAGAGAGAACAAAATGACAGCAGAAAGAACAGTGTGACTGGTGGTTTTATGTGTGGATCATCTTTTTATTTTCAAGGCAGATGACCTAATGAGTGACTTGGTGTCAAACAGAGATTATGAAAATACTTTAGAATGGTGTAATTCTGACTAGTGACGATGAGCTTGAAGATAATTATCATTTTTTCTTTTGGAAGAATGGCATTATGTTAATTGCTGCAGCAATCAACTGCCCCAAATAGAAGCTCTCCGGGGTTCAGTGTTTTGTTTCTGTCTTGTTCTCCATTACACACAGAGAGATGGGTAAGAGTACAGCAAATGCACGGAGTAAAAGCAGCCTGAGAGCTTCGCTGTTTCCAGGTTCTTGCAGCTGAACTCTTACATTTTTGAAGTCCATAGAATCATTCTGCACTCTCTTACCATATTCTCAAATGGAATCAAAAGTTTCAGCTGCTGGAAAGCAAATGGGAGCTGTCATGTCAGGTGGCTCATTATTTTGGGGGAAAATACAATTTCAGTATCTCTGATAGTTGCTGAAAGCAGTGGCAGCTCCTGTCACTTGTGCTGTATTCCTGCCCTGGCAGTTTGGCCACTGGTGTATTGCGAGAGAGTTCACAAGTGACATTTCATTCCTGGGTGTAGATGTCTGGATCAGCAGGAGGTCACACAGTTGCAGCTAATGGAGAAAAACAAGAGTTTCTGAATGAAAAAGTTAAGCTTATCTTGACTGAGTGAAAAAAAAAAATAAATTTGTTAGTGATGGAGTAGATAATCATCCAGTACCTTCTAGCACTTGATTTCTCAATGCCAGTGAAGATACTGACAACAAATGGATGCTAAGGAAGTTTTAACAGTTCATATAGTTCCTTGGGGGACAGCTTTGCAGCAAAAGGAAAACTTTTCTTATTCTACATCTAGGAGATGTCTGTTGAATTATTTTTTTAACAGCCAGGCTAGCTGTACGCTCCAAGGCTTATTCATCCCCATGACAGTTTTGGTCTTATGTATTTGACTCTGTCTGCAATGCATCAGAAGTGCTCACAGTTGGTTTCACAATTCACTCTTAAAAGTGTATCCACTTTTTTCTGTTTTCTGTCCAGCCCTGAACAAATTTCAGTTTTCAAAGCCTATCATATTATAACTGCATCGTAAAAGAGGCCTAAAGAGAAATTAGGCATGCTTGTTACCAAGAACGAGTCACTTGTGAACAAGCATTTCAGTGTTATAACAGATATTCATGAGACTTTGCGAGGACAGAGCAGGCCAGGTTCTACTGAGAGAAGTATATTGAGATTTTCCATGGTCATGCATAAAGGAAGCAATTTATCAGCGGATACTAATAGGGCGTTATCTCTTTTCAAGAATCCTGTTTCTATGTGTTTTAGCAGTGCTGTTTTTAGCCACAGCGTAAAGGAATAGGATGCATGTGATAATGTTTTCTTCTGTATTAACACATTTGACAATTTCTCATTCTCAAGCGTAACTTAGAAAACCTGTAGTACCACTGAGACTTCAGCTTTAGGTTTTTAATTTTTTATTAAGAGCTGGTCTAAGTGTTTGTTGCATTTAAAGCACAAGCCAGGGGTATCATTTCTGAAGCATCTGTCTCCCATTGTCTGTTTTAGTTGTTCCTTACACAGCGTATACGTGTGTGTGTGTGTTCCATGTGCAGTGTATGATCTCTCATCCTTCCTGTACACCAACAGATGGAAAAGAAGAAGCAAGAAAATAAAATGCGAAGAGACCAGTTGAATGATGAATACTTAGAGCTTCTAGAGAAACAGAGGCTTTACTTTAAAACAGTGAAAGAATTTAAAGAGGTAAGAACATTTGTGCTAATATGAACTGTCAAATGTTCAGTGACCTGTTTTGGCTTGACTTGTGCATTAATACAGGCACAAGATTACTCAACAGGATGATTATCACACTGTGTTCACAGTGTCTCTAGTGGTTCTCTCCACTGGATTCTTGGACTCTGAATTTAATTCTGAAAATTCTTTTTTTCAGTGACAGACTAGTACCCCTCTGTGTTACAGGGGAAGGACAATTTGTTACTGAGCCAGCTGCATATCTGGGTTTCCATATGGATTTTCTTAAAGATCTATGAGCAGTTGGGTACTGGAGCAAAGAGAGTTGTGGAAATAGGGGAAAAAAGGAGGGATATACAGAGTCTTGGTAGTTATAAATACTTTTAGGAAACGGCCTTGTTTTCTAGCCACTGTGAAAGCACTGTTTCATGCTTCATTGATTTAGCCTTTCCTGAGCTTTACTTCATAATGTGCTTCTGTTAATTATTGTCTCCATGCTAAGGAATGACAAAGTAGTGCTGTGAGGCACAGTTGTCATTTGGCTTCAGATATTTGAGGAAAAACATTTTTCTGTAATTTGTCCTGCTTTGTTCTGAGACTTTTCCTTCTGGTTTCAGCAAGGTACACCAGGAGAATGTGAGAGGACTGTTCAGCTATTTTTTGGACATACAGAATTTTACTTCCTAGTTGCAGAAATTAGATGGAAATTTTTATTTTTGGTAGAGGCATAAACAAGCCATTTTTCTGCCATTGCCTTGTGAGGGAACTTCTACTTACCCTTGCTGTCCTTAAAAATAAAGGAAGTCATGGTTGTGGTACTGAAAACAGTCATGGTTGTGGTACTGAAAACAGGTAGTATGTGCTTGTATGTCTTGATCTGTCGTTGTTCCCTGAACACTGACTTTTTTGCAGGCTGTCTTGTGAAGGTCCAAGTCACCTAAAAGGAATCTCAATTTCAGGTTTATTCAAGTAGCTTTAGCTACTTGTAGCAACGTTAGATGAAAGATCAAGCAGCAACCCTTTAGGCTTGAACATCATGAAGTTTAATGAATATTACCATTGGAATACCATTATGGATGAATCACAGTTAGCATGAGCTCATCACTGACTCCAGACTACTTTGGATTTTGGAGAGCTTTCAAAATAAAAGAGTTTAGTGAAGATAAAACTGAGCGAGTTAAGAGAAGCTACCTCCTTATGTGTTTGCCTTCTGTTTACCGGACTGCCGTAAGACTGAAATGCTGCTGTCCAAGCTGAAAGCTAGTTCTTCCTGAGGACCTCTAGCTGGTGAAGTTGATAGAAGATCATTCAGTCCACTGAATCTCTTTTGGGAGGTGACAGTTATAACTGCAATGTAGATATATATAGATATATATAGACATATAAAAATATATACGCACAGCTGTAAAAGTCTGGTTTTTTTCCCAGTATGTATTCAGTTTTACATTCCTTTATCACATGGCTGTATGACTCGTTGCATCCACTACACAGTAAAGAGTTAACACAGTACAGCACAATAGAAATACTGTCTAATTTTATTTATTTGGGTTTGGGTTTTTTTCCCCACAGTAAGGATAAAGGGGATTTTTTTGTTTTGTTTGGGTTTTAACACTGAGTTAGGTCAAGATTGTGGAATAAGTGGGTATGTACTGTGTAATATGTTAGTACCACAAGCACTAACTGCAGAATGCAGCAATTTGTTAATTTTGGCCAAAATACCCCCACAGAATGAGATTCTTGAAACTTTCTTCACCAGCTAATAACTTCACATTATTTTAATTTACACGCTAGCCATAGACAAGGTTCCGAAGGATAAAAATTAATTTCTGATGGTTAAGACGTAAGAAAATGGAAACTTACCTTGGATAATTCCTGGTGTAAAATTATAGATTTATATTTTTATAAAGCCTAGCTGTTGTATAAATTTCTTGGAAAATTCATTTTTATATATAGAGTGTTTGTTAAATTAATAGCTCCAGGAAAAACACCTTAATCACTAGGACCATCGTGTTATCCCTGGCTGGGATGAAAATCAAAGTCTGTCACCTGTAATATAGGAGGACAAAGATTCAGACATTCTGCTCAGATGAACTGATGCTCACCTTTGAAGACAACAACCTATTTACCCTGCTGAAGATTTGCCCTTGAAAGTTTAGAAACTTTGTGGAACACTTTCTGAAACATTTTTATATCTGTATATATGGGATTTTATAATTCAAACGGTTGCTTTTTTGTACTTAACATCAGGATTTTGGACTGACTTCTTAATGTACATCACATCTTCAGGAGAAGAAAAAACATGTTCTCTTTTCCCAGTAACACTGATGCCAGTGGTGCCGTTGCAGCGAATATAAAATAAAGAATGTTTGGAATCCAGTGATCTGCTATTGCATTTTTAAGGTGGCATTTGCTTTAGAAGCCTTAATGTGCTTTTGAATTACAAGTGCATCAAAAGATGAATTGTGTCTGTATTCACTCATGAGGATACTTTCAGGTGTCTCTTAGTAATTGGTAACATTTTGTTCTCTCTTGCTGCTTTTGGTAAGCTTGGTGTCTGATGGTACAGGCAGAGGAGGTCCATGGAACATTTCTATTTGTCTCCCATAAGCATCTACTTAAGAATTGTCAGTGGAGATGGCCCAAGTTCATCGCATACAATACCTGATTCCACTTCTTTGGATACAACAGGTTTGATATGAGCATGTGAATTTATGCAAACTCTGTAGCATTGAAAATTGCGAAATGTGGGATTTGTTCAGCTCCCAGTGTGAAAATGAGCGGAAAGAGGCTGGGGAGGTATGGAAAAGGTAACCTCAGCTGTTCCTTGCTTTCTGTCGCAGGCTGTGTACGTTGGGGGTACCACTCCTTCCAATGCCTGGGCAGGAATCAAAATGAAAGAGGCATTTTTTCTAACAGCCACCTTCATTCCCCCTCCCGTTTGATTTGACGACTGTCAGGCTTAACCTTTGCGTCAGGCTGTCCCTGGTCAGTTTTAGGATGGAGGAATGAGGACACATCAAGCGATGGCTACTTGTGGGAAGGGGATTTTTGGGGAACTGTATCCAAGATGCTTTGACACTATAAACATGACAATCCTGATAAACAGGATAAACAACAGAGGTAATTTTGGCTTTCAATGAAATGATGACAGCTGTTTGTCGAAGTGAAGGGCAGTGTCTGGAGGTAACTTCTAAGTGGAGTTTTCAAAGAAAGGATGAGAGTGCTTTAAAGTGGTTACTTTAAGTCATTAAACTTCAATGTGTAGCATGCCTTTGGTGGAGACTGGAGGTTGTCTTGCATAATTAATACATTAATTTATAAATCTACAGAATTAAAAATATTTTTAACTGCCACAGTTCAGTGATTGGAGCTGTGCAGCTGAGGTACTAAATTCTGAGAGTGTAGGTGTGTGTATGCAAAGGATGGTACAAACCTAGAGCAAGCAGAATGTCTTAATTGCCAGTTTCAGCTGGTTGCAGCAGAGGAGCTAAGAGCTTCTCAGAATTTTAACTTAGTATTGCTGCGTCTCTTTGACTATTAAGGAGAAAGATCTTACCCCGAATTAATTTGGTGTTACCAGGCTTGTAAAAGAACATTTAGAGGACTTGTAGCAAAACTTCTTGGTTTATTTGATAAAGCTTTAATTTGCATTTCAATAAATTTAATTATTTTGCTGTGCTGATGAATGAACTGTTCTAAGTCTTTTAGTTTCAGAAGCTGAGACAAGCTCTGAACTCAAGGCATACACTTATATTTTTTAACCATGACAGCTTTCTTTAAATGCGGTTTTACAAATGCACTTGCAGAATATCTTTTGAGAGTGAACTTGGTGACATACACCTGCCTGAGTTTACAAGCATGATAAAATCCAGGCAGTCTTTTTGTTACACTGTATCAAAAGGAATGGAGTACTGCACCAAGTCACTGTTGACATGAATAAAAGAAAATCTTGGAAGGCAAGTTAAAATGTGACTAATACTTTAAGGTTTCTTCCCCTTTTCTTCTTCATTTTCTAAAAAAATCTGCTTATTGAAGTGTGACCTTACAGTTTGGTTCAGGAATCTGAATGGAAGAGAAATGTATGACATGCAAAAATATTTCACTGTGTGACAAAGCAGCGCTTTGTACTCTTTAATTCTCCAGAGACACTACAGTACAGGTATACCCAGCCACATAGGAGAGAGCAAAACTGCTGAAATTTCTTTAGAAACATAAAATTACTTGCATGAGAGAAAGGGTATCACTTCCTTTAGGTCGCACTTTGTATAGCTGCTGGTACTCGTGCAAAACAGACAGCAAAAGAACTGTGCTTTGGTGCGGCACCCACCTCCCTAGCGTCAGCTTTGTGAAATCAGGCATGGAAGTAGGGCACCCAGGCAAGGTAATATACAAATCTTACTCGTTTAGGGGGTGTATGGCATACTCTTAGATAGTGTTCATCTAAAAATACTTAGGAACCTGTTAATTCATGGAGTGTGTGCACAGCCAGGGCTGCAGCCCGTGCCCAGCTGGCATCCCAGGTGCCAAGGCTCTGGTCCCCAGAGCTCAGGGCGGGCTCTACAGGCGGGCACTGGCCACTTTGCAGCCAGCACTGTGTTCCTGTTGTCACCTGCTCCTCGTAGAGCCACAGAATGCGTTGGGCTGGAAGGGACCTTTAAAGGTCATCTAGTCCAACTGCTGTGCAGTGAGCAGGGACATCTTAACTAGATCACCTGGTATCTTGGGGACTGTGTGTGGACTCGTTTAGACGTTGCTGCTCATGGTGGTCTGTCAGTGTGTATTCTCAGGGCCAAACCTTTCATCTCTTTTTGCATCAATCTTCACACAGGAAGGGCTCGGGAAACCAGCTATTAAGAAGGAGAGGCTGGAGTACAGCTGAAAGATCAGGTGCTCCTGGGTACAATAATAATCAAAGAATTTTCATTGTGGAAGCTGTAGCATAGATGTGGATCTCTTGGAAGGAGGAGCACAGTAAGATATGAGCATTTCCTGTTCACATTCAGCTTCCAAAATTCTTTTATTACTGCACAATCTGTGGATTCCAACAGCACAACAAACTGAGGCCTTAATTCCAATACAGCTGCAGGGTTCTCAGAGCAATGCCTTTCTGCTGAGGAATAGTCTCCAGAGAGTTTATCTAGGAGCAGGTTCAGTGTCAGGGAACGAAATGAAAGCTTGAGGAGTCCACTGTGTACAAGCAGTGGTGACTGGTGTAATCCAAATTGGTGACTTCTCTTTAGGGAAGTAAATAACTATGTCTAAGCACTGCCAAAGGATGTTTCTTTAGAATAGCTGATTTTCTTGTTTTGTCTTCTGTTTGGATATTCAAGATACTGTATCATTTATCCTAGTTCGCATAGGAGATATACTTTCCATATTTTATGTGGAACATCTTAAAGCCAAAGATAACAACACAGCAATAATGTAAGATCTAAATCCTAATGCTTGAAATGCCAGAAAGAGGAATGCTTGCATGCCTGATTTTACTCTCCTCATTTTTCAGTTAAAAATAAAGTTGCAAGTTTTAATAATTAGAGTAATTAATCACAGAAATAAAGTACCAAGGGAGACAGAAAATTATCTATATTTCTAATCAAGGTTGATGACTATCCAACACTTATGCTCCCACTGCACCACGTTACTGGGTTTGGGACACAAATCAGTGTGTAAAACTCTGTACCTGATGTGCAGGCAGCCAAGAGAGGAATAAAGCTTTTTCTGGCTTTAAGCAGGAAGCGGCACCCAGCACAATGGGCTATAACCGCAGATAACAAATTTATTTTCCCCACATTAAGCTCAGATTCCACATATTTAAAATGCAGGATTTTTAAACCCTGAATATGTGCCGCTGCTCTTCTGAATGCAGATGTGCACAGAGCCAGCGTGGGAAGCTGATTTTGTTAAGAGCTTTCTAAAATTGCACTGAAGTGAAATGAAAGCTCCTTTTATTTCTCGTCACCTCTGGGTGAGTGTGAAGCCAGGCTGCTTTGGGTGGAAGTTGTCATTCTGTAACAACTCACTGCTGTCACAGATGCTTAGGTGGGCAGAGTGCTGAGCTAGTTATCTTGAGAACTTCTCACAGCAAAATTACAGAGGCTCACAGTCACCTACTAAGGAAGCTAAATTCATCTTTGAGGAGGTGGAGAGCTATGCTTTGTGCTACATCAGTAGCCCTGCTTACCAGTTCTTAAGCTAGCTCAAGACAGCCCTGTTGCACCTTCAGCATTTGCTGTAACGCCAGTGCAGCTACACTGCTCGTCTGGCTTTATGGTGT